TATTTCTCCCACAAAAGTCTCGAAAAATTCCAAATTCGCACATCAAAAGTCTCTGAGAGCCAAACTTTTTCTTTTTCTGGTAATTTAATACATCAATTAAGTGCTGAACACAGAAAAAACTCAAAGGCCAAATCTTAAATTATACTTTTTTTTTTGGCAATAATGACCAGATATTTGCGTGGAACTAATCAATTATTTGGACTACAGTTTCAAGGCTGAGTGAGATTTAATAGCTGGGCTCATTACCAATAAAATACACACCTGAGGATGGTCTATATAAGCACGAATATCATGTGAAGGTATATAAGAGATAAACTAATCTAATAACACGCTTGTCAATATCTATGTTTGGCGACAACTAAATCTATAAATCTTTATCGCTATTGACAGATGCCATATGCTATATTGAACAAGTTTGTTGGGTAATTGTTGGTTTCACTTGAAGCGATAAACTCGTTTCGATTTTTACATGTGCCCCGGCGCTAATTTATGTACCCCACCCCCATCGAAAACAAAAAAATATCCATAATATAGAGAAGAAAAAAAAATCCAATTTACTCGTTTTCCTCGGGTTCTACGCATAGCGATAAGACCTCAAAATTTATGTAAGATTATTGTGCATAATTTGAGTTGAAAGGTTTGCCGCTGCTTCTCGATATATGTAAGCATATATAAAGTGACTCTTGGAGCAGCCATATCAACCATATTGGGATAGGACGTGCTCTGAATCCGGTGGAGAAAATCAAGTGAGTAATTTCCAGCTGAGATTTCTTTTATAAGGGTTCCGTGTTCATGCATACGATGTAAGGAGATGACTTTAATTCAAGCCCAGAGTCGTGCTGAGACTCTTTCAAACTGGTTTCCTTATTAAGCTAATGTATTTATTTATTAATATCTCAAAAGATTGTTTTTTATGCGGCTTTATCATCATCTTCATCATCATTTTTCGCCACCCACTCAAGTCATTCCAAGACGTTGACGAACTCTATCTTGATCTTACTTCATATAAATCTTATATGCAGCTCCCACGCTTTAAAATTCAAGCTTAAAGCTCAATCTGATCAAGAGGATGACAAAACGATGGGAGTTTCTTGAACTCCAGAGGCTATACTATCATATAGTACCAACTACCAAGTTAGTTACAGATGTGGAGCAAAGGTGCCTAAACAAGTGCGGCTTTTGTTATTGTCGTTCCATTCGGACAAGCTCACCTTCAAGAGTATCTGCCCACAAAGGCATCACTTTCGATTTGGCACAGTAACGGATACGAGGGCCCAGCAGAACAAGTATCTTTCGAGTGGAAAGAATCCCCATGCATTGTGTGCATTTGCCTTTTCTGGTTAAGGTCACGTGGAGTTCCAATCTTGATGTCCGGAGGTGTCAGTTTACACAGATCTCGGCTTGGCGGGAGTGGTGGGAACTGGCACCTTATCGAACATGTGTTTGGGTTTCTTTTTCAGTTTACATCTTGTTTTTATCAGTCATTTCTTGATAAATGCAATTGCATAAAAGTCAACAAGATAGTATCTGAATGATATAAGGATTGTTTACAAAAAGGGGAAATATTTAGCTAAAATATACTATACTTTATGAGAACTTTAATTGAGACTTCTGACTTGAGTGATTCATTAGGAATTAAAGCATTTCCTGTTTTTAAAAAGAGTATCTCTTAATAATTAACTCATTCCATTCCAAGCCTATAACTCATGGGGTTACCTAGTTTTACTCAACAGCTTCTGAGCTCCATTTGCATAGTATTGGCATTAGAAAACCAATGGCTAATTGAACCTACAGATCGACATGAACAATTATACCTTGTTTTTTCTCTCCACATGCACCTGCATTTTCAATCAATTTGTCAGCCAATCAACCTGCTAGGAATTATCGGTCGAAACCGAGGGGTAACAAGAGACCTAACACCCGCAAAGACCGCACGATTAGCGAACTGGCACTCAAATTACTGGAAACCGATTAACCACACAGACGATCATCATTTGGCGGTATAATTAATGCAACGTTTTTTTTAGATAATTTTTAAGCTTTCGCCAGAGCCAGTGCCAGAGCAGAAGAAAGCCATAAAACGTAGTCACAGTCGGGTTGCTGCTCCTCAGACTTAAGCTTTGCTTTGTTAGCCAGCCAGGGGTCTGAGAGGCTGATGTCATTTGGCAATCATCTTGTGAGCTTGTGAGTTTGTGTTTTAGAAGTAGTCTCGTCAACACGTCACTCCAGCCCCAGCACCAGCCAGTCTCTCGTGTGAAGGTTACCCAGAATATACCCCGATCTGGAAACAAGACGAAGCACATTTTCAGAGGCGTGTTCGGATCTCAATTTCAAATTAGAATTAGACTCGAGTGTGCCGGAGACGAGAGACTTTGTCAATAGTAATGCCTTTGTCTAAGCCACTTGTGTTTGATGTTAATTGTAATGAACAGTTTTTGTTGCTGTTCCGAGTGCTTTTTATGCAAATCTTTAGGCCATCAAGCAATGGAAAAGCATTTTCTGCTACCTCTTGTGATTGCCGTTTATTGGACTTTTTGGAGCGTTTCAAATATGCATGGCAAATAGCTTACCAACTGTGAAATACTCCAAAAAAAGTATATACATATATCCAAAAAATCAGAGAGTTAGGTGAAGGGAGATATGGTGGAGAAATGAAGGAAAATGTTTATGAATTGATTTTTTATTTCAGACATGTCTTGTTTATGCTCACTTTCAAATTTATGGTTTCTTGATTCACCTGCCGTTCAAGTTCCCAACTGCGTCGCGAAAAACGATATTTAAGAGCCACGTTAACGAGCAATGGGTAAACATCAAGCCACCGCCCTCACTCTATTGGCCATTTTCCACCAACAAACAAATCAGTTACTTAGCCTCGATCTGCAATTAGCACACAAATGGCAAAGTCTTGCCTCTCGGAACTGAAAATGGGAAATACCCAACAGATTTTCCGCGGCGCATTTCGGGCCATTTTATCGATTAAACACTGAGAAAGGAGCAGCGAAAGTTCTGGGGAAACATGGTCTATAAATGGTATAATGACGCGAGGCATTAAAGCCGCACCCAGCTGGCCACTCGCTGGAACCACCGATGTCCTTTGGACAGGGGGTTGCCCGGGATGTTGTTGTTGGTGGGTGGCAAACAACTCCGGCCGGAGTGGTGGACTTGTTGTGACCGGTTGGCGGTTCCAGTTGCCATGACGAAAAATGCACACATGAGTTGCCATGTGGGCATGGGATCCAAAAAGTTTTTATCTGACCGAACACCAAGAATAAACAAAAAAAAAAAGGGTCCTGCTTCCACTATATGCTCCACTTTGACCAGAATCGAAAAGTGGATCATGTTTTCCATATAACCTAGAGATAAATAAATGCCCTGGCATATCTTATCTAAAAGATAAAAAATATAGAAGACTAGGCGAAAAATTGAAAAAACCTTATCACTTGGCTTGGGTTGGGAATATCAAGATGTAAACATAATATGAGCCTTGGATATGACAGAAGAGCCAAGTAAATATACTTTGCGCATTAATTTAATAACTTGGATAAGCTAAAAATATGGTTTATTTACTCAAGACCCTTTAGACTCTATAGACCTATGTGGGCTATAAATATTAAGTAACTAAGATGAGTTAGGAATGTGAACAATTTGAAAAAGTATTCCCATACATATTACATTTCAGTCGCAACCTGAGAACCAGTTGGTTGTTAAAAAATGCCATTTGTATTTATGTTTACTTAAATTTTAGCTTTCGGTTTTCGCAGTTGTTTGCTCTGCTATTATTTTTGTAGTTTACCTTATCGAAATGGCCAAAAGCTGCTAATGAACTATTCGTGATGATGATGTTGTTACCGATGGTGACTAAATAATTGCCATTTAATATGGCTATTTAACTTATCGCTCTAACTCGGAATCGTACTACTATGTATTCCCACCTGTATTTTGTTTGCTTGGAACTTACCTTGAGAGTGCTCCTTTCGACTAAGTAATTGAAATTCCGCAAGGTGCACTCAATGAAAATTGCTTAGACACCTGAGCGATGGATTACTGCACTTCACATCAATATCGTAACACATAGCACATTCATAATAAACACTGGATCGTCACTTCCCCCAAGAATCTGGGGCCTAAAAAGTGCAGCTACTGGCATATATATTTTATTGAATTGTGTTATTTATGCAACTTTTAGAAGAAATCAGGTTTTTTCTTCCCTGGATTTTGGTTGCCGAGCTATATATATATATGTATATATATTTATTTATGCCTTTTATCTTTATCACACCCGCGACGAAGGCGACTCCGAACGTCTCGACGGTTCAACGAGCGCGATTCGAATGAGCCGCCGACTTGGAGCGCTCCATCGTCGCTGCTCCGCCTTCGCTCAGTGCTGTGGTGGCGGTGACGGTGGTGGCTGGCGACTTCGTCACTGCAATGTGAATTTTTAGTTTATACATTTTTTTGGCTACCCGGTTTGAGCCGAATTTTAGCAGCCAGCCCAGCAAATAAAATATAGGAGTGTTTTTTTGGGCAGGAAGCTCCGAGGGGGAAATGCGTAGGGGGAGCCTGCTAATGTGACAGGTTTCGGCTTTGTTGGCTGAGACATGAAATGGATGCCACCAATTGATCGCCACCTTTGTCTGACACTTGTTTTCCAAACGTTGGGCTATTTTTAATAATTTTTTGGAAAAATTGTTCACCTTTGTCAAGTGACATTCGACGCGTGCCCCCAAAGACAAAAAAATTAAAATAAATGCTTCCGCTACAGAAATTTATTTGAGATACTTTCAGAAAGCTATAGCCGAAAGGAAATGGGCGTGTCAGGTGGGCATCCAAGATCGGCTAAATTAAAACGCCGACGCGTGGCCAACAGCTAGAAGAGAAATATCAGATCAGATCTGATCGAACCGGATTGTGTAAGCCCACGCACCCAGCTGCAATTATGGTTAATTGAAGGGGAGAATGTAAACAAAACATCAAATTAAATCCAACAAATCGGTGAAGCGAGTATACAAAATTAATTAATATTATTTTATTATTTCACTAGCAAAGTTACACAGATAAACACTTTTCAATAACATTGCACTAGAGCCACGAACGTTGACAGTTGGGATAATAGTAATAGCAGATCCATTTCGCATTGCGATGTTTGTACCCTCGATTACAGCACTAATTGCAGGATAGAAAAATTGCTTTATAAAGGTTACGTTTTTGGTGGTTTTGAATACGGCACAGGACATGGCCTCCGTGGGGGGTGGGAGTGGAAAAAAGAATGATTTGCGGCGCCTACTTCTGGCTGGGCGTGTAGTACATAGAGTGCAGGAACAGCCGGGTAACCTCACCGATCACCGAACGGTCGGGAATGCTTTGAGCCATGCCGTATAGCGCGAACTTGCCCTCGACAGGCTGGCCAGGGTCCTTCATGATCTCCGCCGTACAGCTCTTAACATCGGCAATGAACTTGTCCGCAACACCGGGCTGCGTGTGCATGTCCGTAACGCAAATGTGAATACTATTAAAAGATAATAACCAATTACAATCAATTTGGAGGCATTTAAATGAAATTTTCCTACCCGGAGGGGAACTGTAGGGCGTTCAGGTTCCAGCCCAGCTTGCACAGAGAGTCGGAGAGCCGGAAAATGTCGAATTTCTTTGAGCCCAAAGCAATCACGGAAGTGGCAGGTTTGCCAAACACGAAGATGCCATTGATGTCGCGAACTCTGTAGGATTTTCATTGAATTAGAACATGATTTCATAGTCAGATAGATTTCGAGTTAGCTTACCCCCTTTCGATGTATCGGGCAGTGTCTACAATACGCTTGGTGGCCTCCAGGTAACCATCATAACCGAAGCTCATCATGGTTGCCCAGCAGGCGGCGATGATACCTCCGGCACGAGAGCCATTTACGGTGGGAGAGCCGTACACGCCGCCAGGCCAGTCGGTGGTCACAGTAAACTGGTGATCCTTGTACTTCTTGTCCGAGTACAGGATGACCGAAGATCCCTTGGGAGCGAATCCGTATTTGTGGGTATCGGCGGAGATACTAGTAACACCCTTGACTTCGAAATCGAAAGGACGCAGCTTGTAGCCGGCATTGCGGACCAGAGCGACCACAAAGCTTCCCAGGCAGGCATCAACATGGACAGGAATATCGTACTTTACACCCAAAGCAGCAATGGCTTCGATGTCGTCGATGGTTCCGTAGGGGAAGTTGGGAGCAGAGCCAACAAGCTGAAGGAGGCCCAACGTGGTATTAAAATATGATTTCTCAAGAAGGTACTATCAAAATACTCACCAGGATAGTGTTCCTATTGATAGCACTCTTGAACTTCTTGATGTCCACCTCTAAGGTCTCGGGATCGACATCCACGGAGCGCACATGAATGTTGAAGTACTGACCACCCTTGTCAAAGGCGGCGTGCACGGTTTTCGGAACCACAATGTTGGGTCTGGTGATGCCCTTGTGCTCCCGGGCATAGTCCCTGTAAGCCTTCATGGCCATCACGATGGACTCGGTGCCACCGGTGGTCATGGTGCCGCAACTAGCTGCGCTTCCGTGGAATAGATTGCAGGCCATGCGCACAACCTCAGCTTCCATTTTGCACACGCCAGGGAAGAGGTCTGCGTGCAGTGGATTGGTGTAAGAGGCCTTGCCATAGACCTCAGTAACTAGCTCCACCAACTCGGGCTTGTAGCCATAGACGGCACCGGACACTCGTCCATCGCGCCAGTCATAATGGCCGGCCTTCAAGTGCTCATCCACCAGGCGGAGGATCTCCGCCTTGCTGAGACCCTTCTCCGGCAGCACCTCCGAGTAGGTGAGATGGGCATTGTTCTTCTGGATCTCTGTTTCAAAATCATTCTTGGCTTTGGCCAGCTCCGTTTCTATCTGGCGACGAACAGCGGGAATTTTCTTGGCGAATTTGAAGAACTGGCGCTTGCCACGTACATAAATACCTATGAATGGGGAAAGGAAAGTAAATTAGTGTCTAGCTTAAGACGCATTTAAAATCCCCAAAAAAACATTATTCTAATAAAAAGACTGTTTTTATAATGATCATCTAGTCTAAATTACCCGATAAAACTCATATATGTATTAAGACTTATCTAAAGGTGAAGAAACCGAAACAAAGACGGCTACTCAAAACCCGAAAGTTGTTAAATCTCACAGTACTCGATACCTTATCGTGTACCATCATTCTAATGGAAACCATTACGTACACATGTATTCTAGAAAGTGACGATAAAAATTATTCCTAATTTGGTGTATTAGTCATTCCTACGGGAAAGTCTGCTATAGGTATTTATAAAGGTGTCTAGCCTTTAGGGGCAAAACTATATTGGTTTCTAGGAAGAAAAAGATGTCTTAATCTTATCGAGACCGGAGGCTTTAGTTGTTGAACTTTGCATACATATCTCATCGATGTTTAGTTGCTATACGTTTGAAAAAATATTTTGACGATAATCTAACGTAATCTCTTTTTCCAGATTAAATACAAAAGTTCGGGGAGGCCATACGACGGGTACATGGCGATTGATCAAAATTCTTATATAAGGCGCAAAGTACATGGCAAATAATAGTCGTTCTTAGAACTATTTCGTTCAACTTAAAGTAGTTCCACTGTATATATGGGGGTGCTAAAGGAACGCACCCGAGGCTCTAGATAAGATAGTTTAATGGACTTGGAGTTGTGACAAGCCTTGTCCACAAAAATCGGCTGATTTTGACCCTATTGTACATACATATATCTATAGACTCTATAGTATAGAGGGTTTCCCTGTGGAGGTTCCACTCACTTTCATCTTGGCAGATCACAGTGTAGAGCCAGACACCTCCCAGAACTGTGGTGGCTGTGATGGTGGCCACTTGCCAGGGCTCCTTGGGTCCAAAGGCTCGGTTGATGCCCTCGGCCACGGGCTTGAGACAGTCGCTGCCGGAGAACGGACGCATCTTTCGGCAGCTGGAATATACAAAGGGGAGATCGGCCTGTAGTCGAGTTCAAATGGCTCGTTCCGCACTCGCGCGCTTCTGTACGGTAAATGATCGCCGGATCAGCGTATGTGGGGCGACAAATACAAATCGCTTGCCACTGATAAAGTTCTGCGCCTGTGGTAGTCCCACACCGATTGGCCAAGTGCAGTGTCAGCTTTGTTATGGTTGTCGACGCCAAACAAAGGTAGCGGTTACTCACCTGTGCGATCCGGCTGGCTCAGGAGCAGTTCAAGTCCAGCTTCAAACGCGGAAGAGCTTCAAAAACACGTAAACGCTTTAATTGTGAAAACACATAGCGGTTTACAGCTGTTCAGTGTTGACGTTTTAGCTTGGCCAGTAGACCCCAAAGAAAAACGATTATTCTGAAGCAGAGGAAAATACCTTTTCTTTCACCAACGGTTTTGTTATTACAATATTTGTGAAAAGCCTTGATTACTGCCCAAGTTATGCTTTATGTGTCTTCATTTTCCTCGTAAATATCCTGCAAAAATAGGAGTCAACTGTTGCTCGCTAAAAAACTCAATCTGGCAACTCTGCAGTTATCGATTGTTTCATAATAAAGAAATACCATCACTAGTGATAAAAACCAAAACAAAATCATGTACCTGTTGCGTTCGTTGAAATTATCCAAATATGCAGCAGCCACAGCATTACGGTCAACCAGACGTGGACTCTCGGATCTGGTTTTGGTCAAAGAAGAGCAAGGAGTTCGGGAAATAACCCTGAATCACCCAAAAACACTCAATTCCCTATCCATGGACATGATGTGTGCCATTCAGGATGCTCTGGTGAAGGATAAAGACAACCTGGACCTGCGGTGCGTTGTGCTAACAGCTCAGGGCAAGGTCTGGTCAGCGGGTCACAACCTGAAGGAGCTCCACAACGATCCAGAGGTCCAGAGGCGGGTTTTCCAGAAGCTGACAGACGTAATCAACGACATACAAAAACTGCCGGTGCCGGTAATTGGAAAAGTAAATGGATATGCGGCTGCTGCGGGCTGTCAACTGGTAGTATCCTGCGATATGGTGGTCTGCTCCAAGACTAGCAAGTTCTCCACTCCAGGGTGATTAATTTTGTTCCCTAAAAGCTTTAAATCCTCTAATAAAATCCTATTTCAGAGCTGGAGTTGGCGTTTTCTGCTCGACGCCCGGTGTGGCTGTTGCCCGTGCTATATCGCGTCCAAAGTCTGCATATATGCTAATGACCGGACTCCCAATTAGTGGCGAGGAAGCTTACATATCAGGATTGGTAACCAAAGCTGTAGCTGCCGAGGAACTGGACAAGGAAATCAATGAAATAGCATGTGCCATAAAATCAAAAAGCCGAGCCGTAATTTCTCTCGGCAAGGACTTCTACTACAAGCAGTTGGGCATGTCTCAAAGCGAAGCATACGCGGCTGCCCAGGAAAAGATGTGCGAGAACTTTCAGCTGGGCGATACCAAGGAAGGCATCACTAGTTTCTTTGAGAAACGACCTCCCAATTGGAAGCATGAGTAAAGGAACGAGGGCTGTGAAATATTGTTGAATTAAAAGAACCAAATGTGCATTTATGTTGTATTAAGTTTAAGAAGCATTGTTTTAATAAATCAAGTTGATGAATCTGTTATATATCTTTATGCAACGATAAAGATCTCTGTTTAATCCCTTTTTTTAATGGAACTACTCCTCGATTCCAAAAGGACCTTTGTCTTGAAATAAAACGAGTTGTCGTGCTTTCGAAAAGTGTGCTCATTCCATTTTTAGGTGTTTAGTTTATTTTTAAGTGTTTTGTGAAAATATTCAAAAATACAATTACAATTCTGCATAAATAAAATATATAAATGTATATCATGTGATTCGGTGCTTCTGAAATTTGGCAGTTTTTGCTGTTTTTTATGGATTTTCCAAATAGATTTTTGGCTAATTTCGAAAGAGTCCGGTTCTATTGCTGTGAGTCTTTTTTTTCATTAAAGGTTTAGTCTAAATGGGAACTGGATAAGACGAAGAAAATTCGTGGGGCCGCGCTGGCGTTTAATTATAAACCGAATACCTAAAATGTTTGTAATTGTAGCTTAGCTTTCGCCGCTTTTATTTAAATATTTGTTGAGCTTTTCGCAGTGAATTAAATATAATAGAATACCTTTAAAAGATGAACCACTCGTAAATGTATAAAAATTTGTATATAGTATAGCTATAGTAGGTGCTTGCATAGGGCTTGCATAGACATTGGCCAAAAATTATTATAAACTGTGCAATTATCATTATTATTTCATAGGAAGCTAACGAACGGAGATCCGCTGGCGGATTCCAATAGAAATATTGTATTGTATATAGCGCCATGCAAAGAGAATTATAACGAAGAAAGTTTTTTAAAAAAAAATACGATTTCTAGTAATTTGTAATGACACGTGCTAAACTCCTAAGGATTTATGACCCCGTGCGAGAGTCCGCTGCTCCTCGGATCCTCCGCATAAAGGAACAAAATGTGTGCTGATGTGGATAGTTGGTTGGTTGGTGTGCAAGTGCATGTTGTGCGGGTGTCGCTGAGTGTTTCAGTGTTTTGAGTGGGTTTTGCGATGGTTATCCCTGCCTCCTCATTCCATGTGCCTTCCATCAGGAAGCTTAGACCTCAGTGACGGGGCGCTTCTCGATCCAGGCCTTGATCGGTTCCAGAGCGTTGATGGCATCCACAACGCCGCGCAGAGCCGGGTAGGGTTCCAGCAGGTCACGCTTGACCATGTAGTTCATGTAGTCGGTGATGCCTGCAAAGTAGACATCAGCCCAGGTCAGCTAAAAGGGTGGAGAGGTTAATAATCAGATCATCCAATTCGATTTGTTTGAAACACACACCTTGGCCAGAGCCAGGTGACCGTCGTTGTCCTTCACGGTCTGCTCGAGCTTCTCCAGGTAGAATGGAATGACCTCCGCATTCAGGGTGACCAGCTTCTTCTCCTTGATCTCGTCCTCCGGCTCGTACGAGACGACTGCAATTTCTATACATTAAAAATTCCAGAGTTAATCAAGGACACTGAACATGAAACTGAGGCACACATTGTTCGCTACTTAGACGGAAGTCGTTAATGGTGTCCACAACGATGTCGATCTGCAGGTCCTCCCAGGGAGTAGCACCGCACAGACCCACGGTCTTGGCCAGGAAGCGGGCCATCGAGATGCTCTGGTGAACACGCTTGCCATCGACCTCCAGAACGGGCATCTGACCCATGGGCATGGCTTTTGGAAGAGGGTTAGGTTAATGACGTCAAGGTGTAAGAGACGTAGGACTTACTTGGCTTCAGGGCTGGCCACTCATCACGGGTGACACGGACATCCTCGTACTCGATACCACCGTAGGCGAATAGGTAGCGGAGGGGCTCGGCCAGGGCCTTCACATTGAAGTAGAACAGCGTGTAGCTGTGCTTGATTGGCTCGGCGGGCTCTGCCGGAGGAGCGGCCTCGCCACCCTCGACAGCACCCTCTGCCCCCTCGGCTGGTGGTGGCGCCTCGCCCTCGGCTGGTGGTGCGCCCTCAGCTGGTGGTGCTTGTGCTTCATCGGCCATTTCTCCGCTTACTCAATGCAATTCCCTGCAAAAAGGATGTCAGATATTATGATTGATTTTTCGAAGGTTTCACATCGTTGCGAAATAGTTTCTATATTTTTAGATTCTATTGCTGATTTGTTTATGTTTGTTGCAAGATTGAACTTTCCCAATCAGTCGATAGCTAGGAACTCGCGATAAGCAGAACGTGATAAAAGTTGGTAGTAGTAACTGAAGTGGGTCAGATTATGCGTGCCAGATAAAGATAATTAAAGGCTTTTAAGACCTAAGATAAGGTGTGGGATGTCCAGAATATTCTTTCTTTAGAGCCAACAAAATCTTCGTAGGGGGTAAGATACGTTCTATCTAGATAGCTTGTTTGAGGCACAACAGAATTGTGATACACATTTATTTATTTGCTTGCCTTATTTGGTCGTATCTCAAGAATACTGAAAATAAATCAAGCGAGCTCACTCCAAGGCAAAAGCTGACAAGATAATTACCATAAAACTGCAATATCTAGAATGCGCGGTGGGCCTTTAAAAGTATTTTTCTTCTTCCCAAAGACCCGGGCGGAAGTGCATTGATTGTCCCAGAGACAACACACCCACGCACCACTGCTCTCCCTGGCAATGGTCCCCCCCCCAGTCGTCCAATCGCCCACAATTTTCTGCGGATCTGAGCAAAAGTGAGACTCAATATCTTTTGGGGCGTTGGCGCTGCTGGAATTGTGAAAGAACTGACTAAAGGGGTGTGGGGAGTCCACGGGGCAAGAACGCCCCTCCAAGCTACAGAGTCGACACTTTTCGTGCCCTGACTCTGTAAATATTTAGACGTGGGATAGGATAAGGCGTCTCCTGCTGTGGATGCCATGTGGAATCCAAACCAGTTTTCGCAAGTCAAGTATCTTTGTATCTTTGAGTGTTCGCCATGCATCGCTGGCAGATTTTGGCAGGGCGCCCAGTCAGTCACTGAGTTCTCCGCCTGCCACCCCCGCTGGCAGTAACGCCTGATTGGCCGGCCGCCGGACTCTTCCGCTGCAATTTTCGGTTTCTTTCTTCTCTGTGTCTCAAATTGCAACAATCGATTTGACTTTTTGGCGTTATCTGGTACTAGCCATCTCCCTTTCTAGCCATCTATCTCGTCGGGGTCTTCCCTTCCCTCACCCTGGCAGCTTCAATTGAATTTAATTTAGTCGATGTCTGTGTTTTGGTGTCATGATTTAATTAAATTTCGATTTTCTGATCTATTTTGGCTCTTTGATCTCCTGACACTCTGGCACTACAATCGAGAGAAAGATAATGATTTCACTTAAACGTGGGAAAAGGTTAGCGAAGATTATCCAATCCGATCCATGGGAAAAGTCAGAGATCGGATTGGGTCAAGGACCCAATTGGGTCCATAATATACGTCAATAAGTCGGAAAATGGATTCACGTGCACTCGGCCAGATGTCCAACTTTTTCCTAGGGGTCTGATTAGCCATTTAGTGACGAACGGTATCACGGCTTATCACCAGTAGTATACGAAAGTCTGAGACCCCTAGTCTCGATCGTTGATAGCCAGAGGCATTCACTTCCATTATCAGTACATGTCATTACTGTTTGTTTGAACGTCTCAATATTTTTCAATTTCATTCGGAAGGTAGAAAGATTATTGGGGTTATATAAGCCTTATTTAATTTAATGAAAACTGCGGCACTATTTGTTCCGATACGAGTACCTCACGCTTCGAAATACGTTCACGCACTCCACGGTCGACGGAGGTGGTTAGCTCGTTTCTATATTTTAGTCCGATCTGATCGATCGGCTCTGAATGGGCAGAAGAAGAGGTCTTTTAGTTGATCGGTTGACGTCGTTGTCCTGTCCTTCACATTTTTTTTTTTTCGGTTGCCAGTTGCGAGTTAGGCGACAGATCTGCGCGAACTGCGAGGCTGTGAAACGAGTTCAAAACTTTTCGATTTCGAATGGATTGACCCACAAATCAATCAAAGACCAATTAGAATGTATAACTAAATTTAGAACCGAACCGAAACAAACCGAACGCATTCATACAATTTCGTTTTTATCGACCGACTTTGACGTTCGAAAACTGAATATTTTCCAACTCTTGGCAAGGCTAATCCTTTTTTTTTTTTTGTTTGTCGGCTGTGTTAATTACATCACACCTTGAGGGGGACTATGGACTCGATGATTTCCAGGATCCGGATCTGTTTACCTTACCTCTAGATAGAATCAAAAAAATTGCTGGCACTTCTGGTCTCCCAGTTCTGTCAATTCTGGCAATTAGCGTTGCTCGGTCCTGCTCCCGCACTCTTTTCTTTTCAGCTGGCGCCGTTTCACACTGAACCGATCGCAGCAAAGATTCCACAGTAAGTGACTTTCTTTGCCGGCAGCCAAGCTTTTATACTCTCACCGCTCACACTCACTTTTACACAGGGGAAAATTCTAATCCAAATTGATTTTTCCATATATATATTTTCTCTATATTGGTAGACATAAATAAAATAGGTAACTATGATGAAAATGATTTAAATCGTAAGCTTTAGTATCGGGTATTTATACAGTCACTTCCTTTATATCTAAAAATGTCGATTATCATATTATATTATTGATTTTTTTATTATCTTAATTTAATAATTTAAATTGATTTTTTCCGGTGTACTACTCGGTTGTCCAACCCCCACCATAAGCTTTTTACTCTCACGAGGGTCTTCTTGAAATAGTGGGGAGCATTGGGAGAGAGATACCCTTTACTGTGGAGCCTCTCCCCATGGTACCTGTGTATGTGTGTGTAAGCCGGCCGGCTAACTAAAGGTGAGAGCAGGCAAGAGACAAGGCGCCTGCAAGTGGGCGTCTAAAGGAAACGCATTTAATGAATTAGTTAATATATTTAACCAGTTATTTAGATGAGAGCCACACTCTCTTACACTTAGACAGTCATTAAATATGCGGATTGAAGAATGCCAAGCTTCAGTTCCAAATCTAGAATCTAGAATCTTGTTTTTGCAAAAAAAAGTCTCCAAAAGGCACACTCTTCTGTCGTAGCTTACACTCTTCGTGATTAGAGAGAGAGAATCCAATTTTAAACCAATTATAGTAGCAAAAAAAAGTTAGTAAATATTTGTTGGTGCTTTTAGTGGACCAACTAGTCTTGTTGACTGCCCACTTTAATTACACAGTGCGACAGTGGTTTGGAACTTTTGAAGAGACCTAGTAGGAATTGTTCATTAGGTCGAGTATAGTATAAAACCATGTTTGAAATTTTTCCTACACCCTCAAATCTTGATTTATTGCGAAAAAACGGTTTTTCGAAAGTGTTTTGCTCTTAAAAATTCCTGAACGCGCAATTTTTGGCCGATTTTCAAGTTTTTTATGTTTTTCAATAGTTAAATGTGGTAGCTTTTGAAAAAAAAATACATCTTCAATTTATTTAAACAGAAAGGACACAAATTTTACAAAAGAAACTGACTTTTTTGAATTTTTGTCACGTTTGTCGAACTTTGACGCCATTTTTTCGGTACAACTTCCAAAAAATGGTATCATTCTTAACACATATTAATATTGTCTCATTAATCCTGAATAAAACAAGACCAATTTCATTTCGAAATTATGAAAATTGTTGAAGTTATTACGCTTTTCCCAAAACAAGTCAATTCAAATTCAGGCGCACCGTAACAGTATGTAAGTACCAGTATGTAAGTTAACAGAAAGATAGAAACTCAATGGAAGATTATTCTTGTCAGTCTTATTTTTATTGATTTCATAGCTTTTATTTTTTCATTTTTAGCATTTTTAAACATTGATAAAAGCTATGAAATCAATAAAAATAAGACTGACAAGAATAATCTTCCATTGAGTTTCTATCTTTCTGTTAACTTACATACTGGTACTTACATACTGTTACGGTGCGCTCGAATTTGAATTGACTTGTTTTGGGAAAAGCGTAATAACTTCAACAATTTTCATAATTTCGAAATGAAATTGGTCTTGTTTTATTCAGGATTAATGAGACAATATTAATATGTGTTAAGAATGATACCATTTTTTGGAAGTTGTACCGAAAAAATGGCGTCAAAGTTCGACAAACGTGACAAAAATTCAAAAAAGTCAGTTTCTTTTGTAAAATTTGTGTCCTTTCTGTTTAAATAAATTGAAGATGTATTTTTTTTTCAAAAGCTACCACATTTAACTATTGAAAAACATAAAAAACTTGAAAATCGGCCAAAAATTGCGCGTTCAGGAATTTTTAAGAGCAAAACACTTTCGAAAAACCGTTTTTTCGCAATAAATCAAGATTTGAGGGTGTATGAAAAATTTCAAACATGGTTTTATACTATACTCGACCTAATGAACAATTCCTACTAGGTCTCTTCAAAAGTTCCTCCAACTTTTCTTTTTTTGTCGCACTGTGTTATAGTTTAAATACTGAAAGTCAACTAAAGAACTGAAGAAAATATACATATTTGTTAGATGGTATTCTGAATCTTGGGATGTGTGGATATTATAGTTTTCCCACACCTCCCTTAGTGCATCAAAAGAAATTAAATCGAATCTCATTGATTGCAAAAAATATTTAATGGGAAATCGGCAATTAGCAACGCCAGGAAATTCGAAACGCCAACATGCGGCGCCGGGACTTGGACTGAACTGGCGGTGCCTGGCGACGAAATTCGAGTGCATCTTGGATGTATGGTTATGTGGGTGGGTTCTCAGGTTTACTCGACAGGGTTGTCGGCTTAGTTATAGTTCTATTTTATTAAATTGAGCTGGAAATTTAGTTTTTGTTAAGCTTAAGATGTATGACTTTAATTCGATCTGGATATCAAAATAATATATAAAATGGCAATAAAACATTATTTACGCATGTATTTAGTTATATTTTCAATTTATTTTTGATAATAGTATAAATGGGATAATAAAGAAAATAATATAGACTATTGTTTAATGAATCATATATTTCAAATAGTTTAAAATAGTGACCGTTAACTACGAAGACATTTTTTAGCACTCACTGAAAAATTCCCCCGAAGGTTTGTGCCTCTGATGGGTTGGTAACCAGGCTAGGTGCAGAACTTGGCCCAGCTGCGGCGAATTGGACTTATTGGCTAAGCGAATTCAAAAGACCGTTGCAAAGATTTGAAAAATTTCAAATTCGAATTAAATTTAGAATATAATTTATATGATAAGTATTTAAATAAAAAAAAATTACCAAATATTATTTAACGAATAAGTCATTTATTTATTTAAAATGTATGAACTTGTGGAATATTTATATTTTCAATGGGATTCCCCTTCTTCTATGGTCCTGGGACTACCCAAAAAATGCAAGCAATAAACTCCATCGATTTCACAAGCGTGCAAAACCCATGGGACTCCCCATAACAAAAAAAACCTACCGGCTGGAATGGCTGGTCTGGCTGGGTGGGAAGAATTTCATACGTTTTGGCCAAGTTTTGTCGGCGGCGGGGCGGAGTACACACATACGCTCGAAAATGCGCAAAGATAAGCAGAAAAGTGCAAAAAGCTAAAGAGTTTTGGGCCAAATGACAAAAAAAAAAGCCAAATGAACGAAAACAGAGAAACGGCTGGGCCGAGAATTAAGCTGAAATCCACAACAAATGGCTGATTTGTGGCCTTTAATGCGACTGCGTGTTGGCGGTTTCCCGCGTAGTAGATTGCCCGCGTAGACCTCGTCGACTGATAAGATATAGCAATCACCCTACCACCTTGCCGCCCCCGGATGATAAAACAGAAATTTCGAATACGCTGACGAGTGCATGACGAGAGCGGGACAACTGGAAAGAATTCTGACAAATCAAGTATGGTAGGTGGTAGTGGAGTCACCAGGTAAGGGAAACTGAAACTGAAATGTTTCGGATTGGGTTTGTTTTGGAATCTGATCTATGTGGCACAGACTACTTGGGGACTAATTAAGAATTTATGCCGCCTGCACTGCCAGAGCTCCAACAAAAAAAAAAAGAACGGCAAGGAGGCGGAGCAGGCTATGACAATAATTTGCTGTGGAAAATGCGACACAGACCGCTAAGTAGAGAGAGAGAGCAATCTAAATAATAAAAAAAAAAGCGAGCACATAAAAAAATGATTATAACCAACTTGGCAGGCAAACAGTTAAAACCAGACAGCGAGCGGGAGAGTTGAAATAAAAGGCAAAAAATGAATGAATAGAGAGCTGTTGGGCGATCGCGAGAGCTGATATTTCTCACACTGGGGGCTGCAGTGCAAATTTGAACCGTCAGTGCGAATTCAAAAGCACAGGTGAGCGAACGTTCCGTCTTTCTCGGTTGACAGTGTTGCCTACTCTATCGGCCGCCCTCGTTGTCTCTCTTTCGCTCTTCCGGCGGCAACGATCGCCGCCAAGAACGGTTAACAGTTCGAGCCAAAAAAAAATAACAAACATTGCGTATACGCAGCGTGACCTTAAGCATACGATACAAATAAGTAGCAAGTTGAACCCTAAAATCTAAGTGCCGGAATTGGCAAGTGTATTCAAAAATGGCAAGCGGTGAACAAATCAAAAATCAAATCCAGTCTGCACGCGCTTACAAAACTGTCTAATTAACACGTGCCCACAAATTACAAACTGTGAAAATCAAAACTTGAAACTATAATTAATAAAAATTAAAGCCACAATACCTGAAAAAATATTGCTAAAAATAAATCAAGTATTTTCCAGATATAATAACCCTCGAAATAAACCCTCTAAATCAAAGTCCCATAACCCGACATTCTTGGAAACTCCATTAACATTGTCTTGTCGGAAATAAATCTGTTTTTAAAACTTCAAACAAATTCTCTAGCTGTCGTACTAACTCGTGTCAGTAACGAGCTATTTCCCACTTTTAGCCATTATTCTGTTTAGCTTGGTTCTCTCATTTGTATCTTTTTTATCGGCTGACTAAACAGTAACACAGACAGATACATTTGTTCAGTATTCAGAACCCTTATTTTGTTAGCTGACTTGGCTGGAAACGCATCATCTAATTGGGGGAATCGATTCAAGGTTTCCAGGTATAACACTATTTGCCTGCACCTCTATCATAATAATTTTTGATAAAAGCCATTTAGATAAGAGAACCCCACTATCCCCACCTTCCGATTACCAAAAGGCTATGGGAGTGGGCCGGAAATTCCAAGAAGTGGCTTTAAAACTCATTCAAACATTATGAAAGGTGTTATCGAATCGATCTACACGATTCATTATCTTCTAATTATTTCCAAAAGAATATACCCTCTCCATTTGGAGCTTAATGGGTAAACACAATGGAACTTGCATGTGGTGACTCTAAAAGCCCAATTAAGCGGCTATAACCAGTTTGCAATCTATAAATAACGATTGAAAAATCCCCCTAAGAAGCTTGCAGATTTTTGGGCAGATTAAGACCTGCCTGATGGCTATTATTTAGGTTACTCACTAACCTAGACTTTGTAATTATGGAAAGACCACTCGAATCTGTATCACTCTAGATAAGAGTAGTCATATTCCCCACAAGAGGGGAAGCACTTTCCGTGGAAGTGCACACAGGTTGTTCAATGCAATAAAGGCAGTTGTATAACAAACATATGCCTTTTGATAAGATTGTGCCGAACTATATATTGGAAGCCCTCAGCCCACTAGGATCTTATCTAACTGGGTCATAAAGGCGCAATATAGTATCTGCATTGTGGGGCTTCTGTTTATTGATAAATTTCCATGATATTGGCCGAATTAGTAAAGCCACTCCACTGAACATCCAGAGTCCTCAGGGCTAAAACACGACTTCGATGACTGATGACTCGATTTTCCTCACATTCTGGGTGTGGGTGCACTTCCTGATCTTGCTTCGCATTAAAGGTGCCTTGAATTTTGCCGGAGGGCAGTAAGACCGGCATCCAAAGTGTAGTTGAAGGAGTACTTTCCCTGGCGCAGGCAAAGAAACCCGTCGCGGATACTCTCATCCAAGGCTGCACAGACGCGATCGACCAGATTGGCCAACTCGTTAAACCTAACGTTCTGGCGAATGGCAATATCGATGATAATCTCATCCTTGGTGGCCAACTTTAGCTTCCTCATGGTCCGGAAGATGTTCACATGGGACATTTTGAAATAATTATTTTACGAAAAATCAGAAAACTTTTAAAACTTTTAAAGTTTTGTAAAATTTTTGAATTTTTTATTACAACGTAAAATTTTGTTAAATTTTTGGATTTACTTTTGATGTTGTCGGTTGGGATTACAAAATGAAACTGAAAATGAAAAGTTCGATGAGCCCTTACATAGAATTAAAATTACAGGACTGACTACTAGATGGCAAGAGAAATCACCTTGAGATTTAAATTAGTTGGGGATTTCTGTTTCAACCATGAAGTAGGCATTTCCGGATTTGAAATGCATTTCTGTAATTTTGTGACTTTCTTTTGTTCAGAGGGAACTTTGTACTTCCTCCTCGAGCTTTTCATTTGGTTTTCGCCTCATTTGCGCTCTCAAATGCCTTGCACTTGTCGTTTTTTTTGTTTAAACAACAAACTCAACGTCATCCATAATTAACTATACACAGAATTTGTGACTTTGCACATACTATAGTATATAGTAGTGGTGGAACCTTAGACAACTTGACGTCATTTGCCATTAAAATAAATGGCTTTGTTCTATATATGTATATGAAAGCAAATATTATATTTAAGTGTCTGCATAGATCATCGGGGATTAGAGGGATTAGTGTAGTGTGTGGTTTAATCTTATATAAGACTTTACTGAAAAGATTCCTATTACCCTTTTTGACACCATTTTGTCAAGCCCTCCCCTCCTAAATGGCTAATTAGCTGTACAAACTCGATTTCAATTATTTATTTATAAGCTTTTTAATTAGACATTTTTTTTGTATATTTTGCAGCGCAATAAGCTGGCGAAATAAGACTAAAAAGCACTGAGCGATACGAATACGTGTTTCCACCAAAAAAAGAGGAAAAAAAAAACCGAAAGATAAACATTCTATATATACTTGGCTGGCGGTGACAAAAACAAAAAATAAATAATAAAAAAGCTCTGGGCCATAAATGTTCAAATCAGCTGGAGCGTGGGGGGAGCGCTGTTTTTTGTAGCCAGAGAGAAATGCTCGTCGATTGAGACTGTGGAGCTGAGAGTATCTAGAGACGCTAAACTGACAAGAAAACCACTTCTGATAAGGCTTATCAGTGCCAAGAGGCTTCCAAAATGGCCGACGAAGATCTCAGCCCTCTGCCTTTCCGCAGGGAGCGGAACCTCAGTAACAGAAACTTCAACAAAAGAAACTCTCGCCGCCGCATCAGCCAGCAGGCGGCGGAGCAGGAGCGCCACTCCAGCACACTCGAGCCCACTGGCAGTTGTACTCCGGATTCCAACGACGTCGCACGGAGAGACAGCACCTCCGCGAGCAGCTCCAGTTCCAGCTCGTTCCAGCTCTCGTACTCGGTCAACTCGGACACGGAGAGCGCCTTCAATCGCCGATCTCTGCTCAAGATGCGGGCCGCCGTCGAGGGCAGTCCAGATCCGGACAATCCCACCTCTCCCGATCCCGCCTGGCTCAACGTTCGCGAAAAGGTGCATCGGTTCGAGGCGCAGGAGGCCAACCTTCTGTTCCAAAAGCAGGAGCGTAACAGTCTTAAGCTCTTGGAGAACCGCCGCCATCCATCCTTCGAGGAGTTCGCCAGCGACCATGGCACCCCTCCGGCCACACCTCCACGTCGCATCCGCCTCTTGGGCCTGGGCAGCAAGCGGGTCAGCTCCATACCCAGTACACCGGTCATCATACCCAACATCGATGAGGTGCGATCCGAGGACGAAGTGGATCAAATATCCGACTTTGAAGCTGATCCCCATACCGATCCCCATACGGGTGAACATTCCGAGGAGCACATTATTGAGCACAGTGCCTCGGAGGTTCTGACTGTAGGGGATTCCCAGGTGGTACAACAGGTGCAGCGATCCATTAGTGCCGATCAATCCCAAACCATGCCGCTGAAAATGCGCAACGATAAGGATTTTCCGAGGTGAGTGTTTGCCGATGATAAGATTTTGTATAGTTCTTTGTAGGGGGGTATGTGAGTAATAGAAAAGATATAGGGATTATAAAAGATAAGGTGCATCAAGGTGAAACTACATATTTACTGAAAAGTAAACAATCAGTTTTTATTTAAAAATAATTTTATTAAATTACTGCCAACTATTAACCAACTTTATCAGGTTAATATTTCACTATTAATATTTTACTTCGCATTTTAACAGTTGTATAATAATTGCTTTTGTCGGACAAATAGTTGGGTAGACTTTACTTATCGTGATTTAAGCCAGAATATATCCCCTTCTTGGAAATGGCCTTCCACCAAAAGTTTGTTAACTGGATTTCGCGGTCGCTGAGCCTCCTTTACGGTGTGTCAAAATCAAATTATGCGATTCTAGCCATAAAAGCCCCAACTATTCGCAACACTCGCAGTATCAGAGCTTAATTGGCAGAGTGTTAATTGGGTTTTGGAGCACTTTCCGCCAAACCGGTTGGAAATACCCCAAAAAAAACAACGATACGAAAAATAGTGAGCAGAGCAGGCAATTTCTAGTTTCGAGAGCATTGACAAAAATTGGAAAATGTCTCTCTGGCTAGCTGGGTTGATTCAGCTTCAGCACGAAAATGGATGACTCCCGGAAAGGCCGGGAGAAGGACGACGCCGAGGCGGGTCCCCAGCGGGATACTGATGCCTCCGAAGAGGCTGTTGAGGAGCGCGAGCCGCGGGTGAGGATGGCGACGCAGACAGACAGGAAGCCTACCTATGTCTCTCAGGCCACCGGGACCAGTGATGATCCCTTTCCACGGCGCAAGAAAAAGAAGCCGATTCGACTGCCGCCGGGAACGAAAATTCCACAGACCCCACAAACCTCAATGGATTCCATGGACTACTACCAGCCCGCGAGTGAACCCTCGAGTCGGTACTCGAGTCAGTCCACGAGTCAGCCCTCTAGTAAGTCCTCGAGGTCGGAAAAGACGAGTTCGGAAAAATCTCAAGACGTCCGGCGGAGAAACGCAAGCACTTCCGAAGAGGAAGTAGAAGTGGAAATCCGGGCGGATCGGTATAGTAGGCAGGACATTCTACGTAGCAGATCCCTAGAGGATAGGCGGTCCACCAGCCAATCTGCCAGGCAAACGAGTATAGATATTGAAGAAAGGGATACTGTTTATGGTTCCCGCGAGTGGCACGCGTCGATCGAGACATTAAATATGGACACCGAGGGCTGGGTGGCAGGGGTCTGTACCATAACTTCCCCCTTGCCCTGAGACCTTAGCAATTTTCCAAAGTATTTTCCAGCTAACGGGCTTCATCAGTACCGCCATGGCCATCGTTCTGATAATCATAATCTCATGGTTCATCATCAAGCAACTGGACTTTATCATGTGGGTAGTGACCTTATGCGCCAGGGCGTTCGAGGAAGCCTTGAGTATTTTCCACGATGGTAAAGGTACCAATCTCATTGATAGCGAGAAGCTCTCAATCCCTGCCAAGGAGCCCCCGGATTGAGAATTTAGGACGCCAGGTCTCTGACTCATTATAGTATCTGTGTTTTGAGGTTGCTACCGTCTTATCATTGGGCCTCCACTTCAGCTGACTCACTCGAAAGTCTCGGGTGGAGGTTGGTTTATCTAACTACTTATCATATTTGCGCTCGTTCCTGTTGTTGTTTTCTTAATATTGTCTGGGGGGTTATTTTCATAAAGGCACTAATAACGAGCTCTATAACAAGAACCTTAATCTCCTTCCTTTCACAGAAACTATCGTTCCACGCCGAGACGCAAGACTGAAATCATTGGGACCACCAACGAACATGTTGTTACAAAGTTTAACTCTCTCTATCAGCCCAGAGATGAGTGAGTACTACTCTATCAACTATATCCACAAAACATTTACTAAATGAAGTGTTTTTTTTAGAAACGAGGAAGAGGAGATTGAGTTGCGGGAGAAAAGCGACAAGTGCGTTCTTCCCATTCTGGACGAGCTCATCAAAACGGAGGAGGCCTACGTGAAGAACCTCTTCCTGGGCATCGAGAACTACGGCAATATCTTCCAGCGCAAGGATCTTCCGATGGGATTAAGAGGCAAGAAGTACGATTTGTTTGGAAATATCGAACAGATAGCCGAATTCCATCGGGACGAGTTCCTGCCGATGCTGCAACGTAATCGCAGGGATTTGAAACGTTTGTTTGATGAGTTTCTGCAATTTTTGGATGTATGTATATATTAATCTTATATGTATTTTCGTTTAAAAATAATAGTTTATTTAATTTTTAGCAAAACTGTTTCTATGGCTATGTGATCTTTACCATGAACAAGCAAAAGTCCCTCAAGCTGTGTGATATCTACAAAAATTACTTCCTTGTAAGTTTAAAAAGAAATCGAAATAAAATAATTATTTAATAATGATATTTATTACAGAGTATTCGACTGGAGCTTGATGATAAATTGGGAATCAATAGCTTCTTGGTCCAACCCATCCAGCGCATGGCTCGTTATCCTTTGCTCCTCAATCAGTTCATCAGTGTAAGGCCTTGATAAATAATCCCCATGAAGAAATTAAAACCAAAAATTTTATAGACCTTCTTTAAGAACCGTGATCTTGTGTTGAAACCAATTATCGAGTCCTGCTGTCGGTTGGAGAAGCGTTTCCGCACCCTGCTCACCACCACCAATGAATCGGAGACCATCAACGACATAGTAGACTGCCATGAGGTTGGTTTCCTCTCGACTCACATCTGTTTAACTTTTCTAACTTTCGACTTTTCGATTTGCAGTTCAATGTCTACTACCAGGGAAAATTCCGGAAGGTTAACCAGTTCCAGGTGTTCGACTATAAGCTGAAGCGCAGCTACTCGGCCAAGGTGTTTATTTTCGACAAGTGCATCATTTACACGGAGATCAAGGGCAAGAACCTGATCTTCCACGGCCGGTATCCTTGCGAGCACATCGGAATATCGGCCAAGACCAAGTCCTTCACGCTCTACTACGAGCGTAGGAAGCAGCAGGAGTGCGAATTCACTGCAGATGCTGCCCAGATAGCTCAATGGCTGGACCTCATCCGGGACATGATCAATAACTATGCCAACGAGGAGCGCCAGAAGCTGCAGGAGCGCTACTGCCGCGAGAATGATCACCTGCATCGGAAGGCGCCCAGTTTTTCGCTTTACCGTGACTCCAATCGCTTCAGCACTGACAGTGGCATTGGCAACATCTGGATTATGCCCAGACCGGATGAAGATGCTGTCGGCAATCGCACCACTTGGTATGCGGCCACCTAGATCCCCAATCAAGGACACCAAGGAAATGGGTCAAAATAAAGAAAAGCTATAAGGAAATTGTTTCCACAGCTCTGCCTGTAAGGCATCCAGGATATATAAAGTCAAAACATTGGCTTATTGTTGTTCGCAAAGGCGAGACATAAATCATATGATTTAAATGCTAAATCACCAAATATCGTATTCTAAGTTTAGTTATCTATTAGATCTGTGCATATTGCTGTATTAATGTTGTCACAAAATGCAATTTGTTGAAACTTCTTCAGTGCCTGTGTTGTAGGCGCTAGGCGCTAATAAACAAAATAAAATAAAAAATTAAAGAGAAAATCTTAAGAGGCGACCTTGTTTATATCTTTCACCCAATTATTCATTAATGAAATATATCTATGATACATTTTTTGTGGAAGAAACATCCGCTACTTCCTTCCACCTTTCGCCTGTAAAGTCACACGCTTCACAGCCGTCAAAACAAATGAATCCATCATGAAAAGGTCGCACGCCATCGCCGTTGTCATGAGAGCCCGACGTGAGGCAGCTGGGGCTATAGTCCCCCGATCCACCCCGGTCGGAATATTGTTAATGATACGACACGCAATACTTGAAACAGCGAAACGACTTGTTTCTGTCTGTGACATCACTAAGAAAATGTATAAAAATAAACAAATGGCGCATATAAATAAATATAAGCAATTATTATTGCTTGCTTGCTATTCATCAATCGCGCCCAGAAGTGCTCGAAGTTTATTTATAATTCCCATCGTTTTTGCCAACTCATCGGGGTATTCTTTTAATTTCAATTAAAAAAATCAATTGTTTTAATAATAAAGCCAATAAAATGTGAGCAATTTAGCAAGTGAAATTCTTGAAAAATGCAAATGACAAACCAGACGGCAATTGTTGCTTTTCCGGTGATCTCTGTGAGATCATCAGTTTAAAAATTAAACAAATAATGTGAGGATAGAATAGTTTAAATGACAAATTAAAAATAAATGCTATTGTACCAAAAACTATACAAAATTTGATTTATAGACCCAGAATATCGAACAACCAGTTTGCAATCGATACACCCCAAAACAAATCATTTAAAAGTTCAGGGTTATAGTTGGTCGATAGTCTATGATTATTGGTAGTAGCTATAATTACAGTTATTGCCGGCCATTAGCCATTTTCCAAAGACCCCTAATGGCTATGCAAATATGGAATCATATATAGCTTTTTATTATTTCAGCTTCGATGATGAAAGCAAAAGTGTTACAGACATTCTATTCCAATGCCGCCAGACTTTGATCTCATTTTCACAGTTTCGAATCACTTTTTGATGTTTACAAACAAAGTGTTCGGCGCGTGGTCATTTGAAAAGAGAGTTTTTCAACTTAAAGAGCAGTGATCGAATGAAATATTGAGAGATTGAGAGAAACCCGCGAAGCTTTAAAGCTTATTTTTGCAGGTTTGTGGAATGCTTTCGGCAACCCGCCGCTCAATCAAGTTTTGCATTTGAATCGGAGTGGATCGGATCGGTACGGGCACGGTGTTGGCCAGAAAAAATGCGACGATACCGTCGGCGGTTGCCATAAAAGCCAAATTCGACAAACGCCAATAAATCCAACAAAAAGTTGTGAAAAGATACCAACCATGGAGTTGACACTGATCACGTTGAATTGGTTGGATGTGATATCCGTGGCAGTAACATTTATTGTGATCTTACTGGTGCAGGTTCTTAACGCCTATTTGCACATACTGACCGACAGTGAAGATAAGGCCAAGTCGATCGATGTGGTTGACAGGGCCTCGGTGAAAGAATGTGCCATCTTGGAGTCGCGAGACTCTCCGCCCACAACAACTACACCGCCAAAAACCCCAACAACACCCACGAATGGAAAGCTGGAGAAGCAAGCCAGTCTGCTGGATAACGATAGGTAGGGCTAAAGTCTAAAACTGGCTTTGTTTAAATTTGCTACTCCACTTGGCAGCTGTTTTTTTTTTTGGTTTATTCCATTAAGTGTACTACGCCCTTTGTTCAACAATTGTGGTATTGTCTTACACTAAACCTACTGTGCGTATACGTGATAAGATAGCGTATACGTAGCGTGGATCTATGACTCGCTAGAGTTATTTTTAAAGCTTTTTCACGGTAATTTGTAAAGCAAGAGTAATGAATAATGGATACATATAAGCATGGTAATTTTCGACTTTGATTATAGATAAGAAAAAGCGTTTTTTTTTTTATCAATTGTTGAGGAAGGAAGTTATAAAAAGATAACATGGCTTGTTGCGTTTTATAAAGGAAATGGTTGTAGTTAGAATAGTTATCTAAGGGACTTCCCTTCGGTTCTTCACAGTGTATTGTCCCATTTACGATCAAGGGTTCTCACGGCTTTTGTTATTGTTGTGTTTCTGTCACGTTTGTTTCGTTTCCAGCGGCATCTCACTGACTTCCATCAATACCTGTTCAACATCAGCAACACCGGCGAACTCATCGCCAACATTACGAACACAACACAATGGCTTCCACACCTTCCACACCTCGCACACCCTCAGCTTCGAGACCCTGGGCGACGAGTAGTAAGTACCATAAAGTTCACAAAATCCATTCCGTTTAGCACTTTATTGGTTTACTGACATTAACAATTTACACTCAATCATCGCTATGTATTATCCGACAGCCACGAGGACGAGGATACGCTTTCTCTCGAGAATCTCTTTCCCTGCGATCAGAGCGAAATCTATGCTTCTAAGAAGATCAGCTTCATCATTGATGAGCTCATCCAGACCGAGGTCAACTACGTAAACAATCTGAAAAAGGGTCTTGCCAACTATGGCCAGCTCAAGGACCAGGAGGATGTGCCGGAAGGACTTTGTGGCGAGGAGAAGCAGAAGCTATTAATCGGAAATATCTCCGAGATACTTCAGCTCCACGAAGAGGAGATACTGCCGCTAATGCTGCGAAATCAAAGGGACCTCAAAGGTCTCTTCGACGAGTTTGCCGTACACTTCGAGGTGAGTTTGGGGAGGTGAAGGGAGCTGCGTGGGTTGGGCCCATTAGCCAGACTCGTGTCACTTAGCCAAGTAGCCGTTAGACAGGTTCCGACATCTCTGCCGGCCAATCGATCAAATATTCTTTTGTCTTCCGTAGGCACTCCAAACCAAAATCAAAAAACCTCAAATATTTACCCAAAGTAGAATTAATTATATATTTTTTTCTCCACTTGACACCTGCGATTGCCTAAGTGATGAGTGACGATTTCTTCATTACGTTTTGCCTGGTTAAGCATTTTTCACATTTTTTTATTTTATTTTTAACCCCTCTCACGGCGACTTAATGCTAATTTAGCACTTGTCCATGTGGGTTACGCCAACCGTTTGGGATTCGGTAGAGAATTTCAATTAACGATTTAAATAAGTAATATATTTCTTTATTATTTTATTCCTTGTAATGTTTTCTGGCTCACACCTCGCTACAAGTGTGTCAGCATATCTCATTCTTATGCCGCAGCATGTGGCTCGTAAATTTTTGAAGAAATTAAGTAAAGAAGACAAAAAAAATATATCATATTCGGATTATTTGCCAAATGACAAATGGGGGAGCTTGGCGAGTTCCCCTGATAAGATTGAAATAATCACCAGAACACAATAATTGTAAAGTAAAACAGAAACTGGGAACAACAGCTAGCACTCAGTAACGAAAATCAGTTGAAAATTGTTAGGGCAAACAGATATTTAATTTTTTGCGTCTGGGCTTGGGGCTTCACTTGCCGGCAGTTGACGTCATCGGTTTGGCGTATTCGGGGAGAGTCGACAATTGAGCGATAGAACCACAGATATATATAGTATACTGAACATGTCAGATATGGCTATGGAGAAATCCCCAAATCAACATGAATTACACTTCAGTGGATCTCGTTAAAAGTGCTCATTTCGGATAGATTTTGTTTTCGGGGCACTCTCCACAACGGCCATGTGGCCATGTGGACTTAAGTGTTGACAATGCAAACGATCAATTTAAATTGAAATTGTCTGTGGCCCGAGGAATTCTTTGGACGCCACTCGGACGCAATTCTCTTATGTCACTCGGTGCTTCCAAGAAATCTCAAATAAATGCCATAAAAATGAAGGAAATATGCGGTACAGTTTGAAAAACTGTTCCCATAGCAGGTAAAAATTCTTGTTGGAGCACCCTGAGGATTTTGGCATCTTAATGTTGAACAGACATGCTATAAGCCCCTTTTCGGAACTGATTTATGTTGATTTTTGTTATTTTTATTTCGCGCAACCACTTTGCAATCGGATTTGCTCAAACAATTCTGACTCACAGGACAAGCGTTAAGCGAAAAATTTTGCTAAATATATCATAAAAGTGTTCAAAAAATTTGTTTATACGTATTTTCAAATATTTTCATTTTCCCCGCTTATTTTGGCAACATGTTGTATAAACAATAGACGCACACAATTTGTTGGTAAATATAAAATAAACTAATGTTATGGGTTTCCTCCTCAACTTTTCCGTCAAAACGCCTCTCGTCTAGAGACTTTTCACAAGCAATTGCCAAATCGATTAGTTCTGACACGAGAATTGATGTTCTGACCGGAGAGGCCTAGTATTGATTAATGTCAGACCTTGGTCGAGTCTCCGACTCCAGTCTGAGCTTGATTACCACAAAAGTCCGAAGATCTGGCCAGTGGCCATAAATAGAGACGCCTTCATTTATTAATCGGCTTTAAATGGCCAAAACATCAAGTGACAAGCGTGTCGATCAGACTGATTTCTCCCACCAAACCACAGGCGCAAAATCAATTAAAAGTTTTCGTACATTCGGATTGACATTCGAGATGGGGGGTTTTTCAAATGGCTTCAATCGATTTTCAGATTTCTGATTTGAATTGTTGATGTTTACTCTCAAAGAAAACAAATGATGATGACTTTGAAAGGGGGCAATCTCTGGTGGCTATAAATTTTGTCTGTGCAGAAAGATTCTTTGGGCAATGATGTTCTTGGCTTCTATTTTTGACAAATTTATAAGATGTAGATATTTATTTTATAGCCAATAATATTATGGCTATATATGAGTAATAAGAAATTATCGCTATTAATGGTGGTAGTAGATGGTTCTTAATAATTATTCAAGCAGATGTGAGGGGACATTTTTGTTTAATTTACTGTCTTGTGTTCGCACCGTTTATATCCCCTATTTTTATTCATATACAGTACCAATTACTAAATTAGACGGGATGCATTGCAGTGAGAAATTTCATGGTAATAAAATGCCCGCCCACCCCACACAGAATTTAGCAAAATGCAAAAATAGATTGTCACCTTTGGCCGGAAGACAGACAACGACAATTGTTTAAGGCAGTCAGCTGGCTAAATCGCATTAGACATGCAAAACAGAGACCTCCGGTAGGGAAAGGGAAATATTATGACCGAACCCGCTGAGACAGAGATGATTATCATATCTTTTCTAAATGCACAACTTCGAGAGTTCTGATTCCGCAGCCAGGCAAAGCTAATGAAATTAAAATGGAAAGGAAATCGTTAGACAAGCAATTTTCTTTGCAGTTTGCACTAGTTTTCGGGTTTTGGGAAAACATTTGCATTGGCATTGGCCACAGATAGCGACAGGAATTTCAAATTTTCGCTCTAGCTTTGCCAAGGTTTTCCCCTCAAAAACCCAAACCCCTCTCGACTCAAGTTACGTGACTTAAATGCTTAAGAAATTATGATTTCGCCACCAGGCAGACTAACATGTGTACGGTATATACAGTGAACACTATATATATCAACGATGTGCCAAGTGTTGGGCTAAAGCACATGGCCGAGACACAAAGGTTTCACGAGCTACATATATTTGATTCTTTTTTCTTTTAGAAAAATCACTTTTATTGCTATGTTAGCTTCACGATGGGCAAGAAATCCTCTATGCAGCTGCGACAAGAAAATAGGGAGTGGCTACAGGTAAGCAATATACCATAAACATTATAAAAACTAATTAATAATTAATTACCTCCATCAGACCTATCAAACTTCGATAAAAGACAAGCTGGGCATCGACAGCTTCCTAGTTCAGCCCATCCAAAGACTGACAAGATATCCATTGCTTCTGCAGCAATTTATATCAGTAAGAAATACTCTTCTCAAAAATTAATTAATGACTAAAAGCGATAAATTGTATATTAGGAATTCTACAAGAGTGGCATTAGTTGCAAGCCAGTGTTGACAGCCGTTTGCAAATTGGAGACGCGAATGCGACGTGCTCTGGATGTGGTCAACCAGGCCGAGGAGATACCCAACATCGAGGAACTCAATGAGGTAGCTAATAATATTTATCACCATGAAAATTAATATTTAAAAGCAGAAGGAAACATTTAAAATAGTCAGCTACAGAATCTGATGAAATATAAGCATTTTTTAGACTATAGTGAGAGTTTTGATATGGACATGGCTAGGGGCCTTATATGGGGGACCTGGATTTTCCAAGGGGTTCCATCAGAAAAATTTGAAAAATATCGTTGAAAAATTTGGTTGCCAGGTTTTGATGCAGAATTGTGGAGAATCGTTTCAGAAATCGTTTAAGGTATTCTTCTCAAGGATCGGATAAAAATTGACCAAGATATGGACATGGCTAGGGGCCTTATATGGGGGTCCTGGATTTTCCAAGGGGTTCCATCAGAAAAATTTGAAAAATATCGTTGAAAAATGTTGTTGCCAGGTTTTGATGCAGAATTGTGGAGAATCGTTTCAGAAATCGTTTAAGGTATTCTTCTCAAGGATCGGATAAAAATTGACCAAGATATGGACATGGCTAGGGGCCTTATATGGGGGTCCTGGATTTTCCAAGGGGTTCCATCAGAAAAATTTCAAAAATATCGTTGAAAAATTTTGTTGCCAGGTTTTGATGCAGAATTGTGGAGAATCGTTTCAGAAATCGTTTAAGGTATACCTCTCAAGGATCGGATAAAAATTGACCAAGATATGGACATGGCTAGGGGCCTTATATGGGGGTCCGGGATTTTCCAAGAGGTTCCATCAGAAAAATTTGAAAAATATCAATGAAAAATTTTGTTGCCAGGTTTTGATGCAGAATTGTGGAGAATCGTACCAGAAATCGTTTAAGGTATACCTCTCAAGGATCGGTTAAAAATTGACCAAGATATGGACATGGCTAGGGGCCTTATATGGAGGTCCTGGATTTTCCAAGGGTTTCCATCAGAAAAATTTCAAAAATATCGTTGAAAAATTTTGTTGCCAGGTTTTAATGCAGAATTGTGGAGAATCGTATCAGAAATCGTTTAAGGTATTCCTCTCAAGGATCGGATAAAAATTGACCAAGATATGGACATGGCTAGGGGCCTTATATTTTCCAAGGGGTTTCATCAGAAAAATTTGAAAAATATTGATCGAAAATTTTGTTGCCAGGTTTTGATGCAGAATTGTGGAAAATCGTACCAGAAATAGTTTAAGGTATTCCTCTCAAGGATCGGATAAAAATTGACCAAGATATGGACATGGCTAGGGGCCTTATATGGGGGTCCGGGATTTTCCAAGGGGTTTCATCAGAAAAATTTGAAAAATATCGTTGAAAAATTTTGTTGCCAGGTTTTAATGCAGAATTGTGGAGAATCGTATCAGAAATCGTTTAAGGTATTCCTCTCAAGGATCGGATAAAAATTGACCAAGATATGGACATGGCTAGGGGCCTTATATTTTCCAAGGGGTTTCATCAGAAAAATTTGAAAAATATTGATCGAAAATTTTGTTGCCAGGTTTTGATGCAGAATTGTGGAAAATCGTACCAGAAATAGTTTAAGGTATTCCTCTCAAGGATCGGATAAAAATTGACCAAGATATGGACATGGCTAGGGGCCTTATATGGGGGTCCGGGATTTTCCAAGGGGTTTCATCAGAAAAATTTGAAAAATATTGATCGAAAATTTTGTTGCCATGTTTTGATGCAGAATTGTGGAGAATCGTACCAGAAATCGTTTAAGGTATTCCTCTCAAGGATCGGATAAAAACTGACCCAGATATGGACATGGCTAGGGGCCTTATATGGGGGTCCTGGATTTTTCAAGGGGTTTCATCAGAAAAATTTGAAAAATATCGTTGAAAAATTTGGTTGCCAGGTTTTAATGCAGAATTATGGAGAATCGTTCCAGAAATCGATTAAGGTATTCCTCTCAAGGATCGGATAAAAATTGACCAAGATATGGACATGGCTAGGGGCCTTATATGGGGGTCCTGGATTTTCCAATGGGTTCTATCAAAAAATTTCAAAAATATTGATCGAAAATTTTGTTGCGAGGTTTTAAACAATTAATTTATTTCGTTTATTTTTCTTCTAGTTGGATCTCATGCAGTTGGGAAACTTCCGCCGCTCTACGGAATTCGACGCCCAGCATTTTCCGACCCGGAAAAAGTACAGGGCAAAGGTCTTCCTGTTCGATCGAAGTCTGGTTTGTACGGAAATCCGGAAGAAGCGGCTGGCTTACCGGCAGCACTACCACTGGGAACACGTGGAACTGCAGAGGCCCCTGGAACTGACCACCTCCAACGCCAACAAGATCATCAACCTGCTGGTGAAGCAGCAGGAGAATGGATCTGGTGGATCGGGAGGACCCAGTGGAAAGCGCGAGGAGTTCTCCTTCGTGGCCTCCGAGGCTGCTGTGGTGAAGCAGTGGCTCCAGGCCACCCACAAGATCATCGAGATCGCCCGGAACGAGCATGCCCGCCGAAACACCTTCAGCCTGCCCATGGACTTGGTGCTCGGAGTAATCATTTCCATCTGGCTGATATGGCAGTACTTGTAGACAATCTTCCTACCCCATCGCCTCATCGTCTATTCCCCATCCACTCACAACCTTAGATCGTAGATATCTATAGAATAAAGCTAAGTTATTTTGTAGTTTTTCTGTTCTTGTAGTTTTCTGTGTGTGTCCGAGCGTAAAATAAGCTTGCTGCAGTTTCTTGACAAATATTTATGATAAATTGCCTTTGCAGTGGCCAATCCCAGTCTTGTCGTTGTCCTTGCAGCAGAATGTAAATAGCTTTTCATCTTTTTCATCGCAAGGCCCAAGACTGGGCTGCCTTGTGTGGCAGTCACCGAAAAATTTATGACAAATCTATTTATTTAGAATTTATGATGGCCTGATGCAGGAAGCCCACAGAAAAAGAAGTCAAGTCACGGTCTGCGAAAATCTAATGAACCATAGGATGGTCCAAGGATGTGGATATGAGCTGTTAAAGATGTGAATGGTATTTAAAAATGGTTTATAAAAAAAGACAATAACTTAATGTTAGATTTATTCCCTAAGCCCCCTAAAGTAGGCTTTAATAATATTCAAATCATCCTAAAAGTTTGTATATTTTGATGCATTTTTCTCACTGTTTTGATAGACTCATTTCAAAAATAGATTTCCCATATTGCATGTCCTGATTATCCGGTCAAACGGACACATCTTTTTGCCTTTTAAATTGCAGGCAAAAACGGCACTAATGAAGTTAAAAAGCTTTTGGGGGAAAATGGCGGGCGGATGTCCCATCTCGCTGGGATGGCTCTACCATCTTGGCCATGGGTGTGTGTGTGGGTATTTTGGGATGTGACAAAAATTTGCACAAAAGCAATTTTTTAAGAGGGCAGAAAATATAAAACGCGACTCCCCTGACATCTTGAGCGGCGAAAGAGACAGACAGCTGGGCTTGGATAGAGATGGAGGATGAACACTTCTTCATGTGAGTTTCGTCGTCTAAGCAAATTTTTTGTTGTTATTTTCCTATCTGCTCTCGCTGTTGGTTTATTATATTATGTCATTTATGTTGGCATGCCGCCATCGCATCCGCTTGCCGTTTGCTCAAGGGATCAAGGATGCTGCGGCTGTGAGGGGGTGGTGAGGATGTGGATGCTTGGCAGGATGCTGGCTAAAGGATAATGCCCGTGTTCTTACCAGGCAGCTTAAGTGTATTAATGTCTGTCAAGTAGTTGTCACAAAAGTGACGTGTATGTAAACGATTTGACATTTTTATGAGCCAAAAAGTCGCCGAACTGAAAAATTACAAAATTTCTAAAAGAGATGCAGGACCTCCTCCTCGTATTCCTTCCCCTCCTCAACCTCCCGTACTCCTCTGTCGGCTATGTAAATATTTCAATATTTCTAAGCCATTGGCTTTTAATTTTTGGCTATGCCCCTCACGTAGTTTGTTCTACATGCTCCACATGTTTTTTAAACTAAATGCATAATTTCGAACGCAAGACAAAAAAAAGCGAAAAAGAAGAAGAATTTGGCAATAGAATTGTAGAATGCCGAGGGCATAATTTATTTGGGAATTTTTTTCTAGTCTTTTTTTGGGTGTTTGCCTGGCACGTCGTTGGGCTGGGAGGGGGGACAGCACAAATTTGCCAAGTAATTGCACAAATTATTGCACGTAGGCGGGCAACACATGATGTCTGAGGAAATTTAGGCGCCACAGCTGGCGCAGTATAGATAGATTCCACCCACCAAGCTCCACTCCCCCTTTTCATGCTACATTAAATTAACTTGACATATTCGGAAATGGAACTCGCACAAGCCCGGGACCACAACTGTTGCTAATTTTTGCTTAATATGCCCCACACACACGAACACAGCCACATAGATATAAAGGCTCATCCTGCGGATTCTCCTGATGCTTCATTGGATTTGTGCGTATCCAATTCACGCCTCAACGCCAGTTGTTCTATCCCCACCCCATCAGATCCATCCAAAAGGACATACATACGTAACTCCCCATTGCTGGAACACAAATTGTATTGCCATCGCATGTAAATGCAACACAACACTTAGGCACGCATCTAGAACACATCTTCATCCATCCAGTCCGCCCAGCGGGTCCTTCTGTCCTTCTGTCAGTCTCTGGATTTGCAAATACGTTTAGTTCTTTTGCTCCGGGTGCTCGAAAAAGTTCAAATTTCAGCTGCGAAATGGCACGTGAAACAATGTGCTTCTCTGGAAATAAAAAGGAGTTGGAGTAATCCTGTGAGTGGGTTACAGTGGGTAGAAAAATAAAGATTAGGATAAGCTAGTCGAAAATTCTAGGAAAATTTTATCTTAATATTTATGTAAAAATGAAGTCTAACTCATAATAAAAAATAGGTTAGCCAGAGAACCGGCTTCACCTGAACAGAGCTTTACCCTGTTTGTTACTGGAGCTATATTCCATAGCTTCTATATTTTCTTATTTAATTTTATCTACAATTTGTATGCTTTTGTCCCACTGTCCTGGGTATGATGGCACAAATCAAGCAGAGCGACAAATGCCCATGCGAATGTGTGAATTTGCCGACGATGACAACTGATAAAAGATCGAATTGCGCATCTGAATTCAAGGAAACTCTCCAGGACACGTTCCTCAACGGCAAGGGAAAACAGCAATGTTGAAAAGAATGAGAAGGAGAAACCGAAAGGACCTTAAGACCCTGGGTTAGGCATAATGCCGCCTGGCATTAGATAAAAAACAAAGGCATGTAATTTTCGGGGCATGGCCTAAAGCCACACAACGAGCCGAGCAAACGGAAACGGAAACGCTCGATAATCGCACAGAGTGCAGCGTCATGTGGTGGCATGGGGCAAGAGGCATAAGGGCAGGGCTAGAGAGAAAAAACGGGGCGTGAGGTTAACACGTTTAAGGATGATGCTGCCTGATGGGCGATGGCTGATAATGCGAGGGCGGCGAATCACGTAAGGTTAGGGAAAAACTCACACTTCCCCTTTTGCCACCCAATTGATAAATGCTCTCTGTTAAGTGGCATGTTTTGGGTTAAATGCGGTGTAAAATGTGCTTACCCCCCCAGAACCCTAATGGCATAATAACCTGGCACTGCCAGAAAAACATCAAAAAAATAGTAGAGAGAGTGCCACCATGGAAATCCCATAAGGAAGGTAAGTTTCTTAGATATTTTCTCTCGCTGTAATTGAAGTGTGAAATGGTATGGTTATATTTTGACTCCACCCCATCTGAATGACAGTTCAGTTAGCAGTCAAGACACTGCAGCAACAAGAACAACTTGCAACACCTTGACACTGTCAACCCGGCAGCACTGACGCAAATAAATCGCTCCTCGTTGGCGCACCTGGCGATGTCAACATATGCTCTGCAGATCCCAAGAAAAGCAAATGCATCGGACTTATCCAGGGGATAGGGCTCGATGGGGGGCTCGTGGAGGTCTAGCCGTTCAGGCCGTGTACATACATCTTGCTTACAGGGCGCCAAATTGAAATTTAAAACGGAAAAACCAATAAAAAACAAGTTACAAACGCCACCGACGGGCGGCAATACAAATTGCACTGACGACAGCTGAAAGGCCAAAGAGCTGAGCAGCCCGAAAACCACCCGAATACCACCCGGAACCACCCAAAAAGCCACCCGATCCCAAATGCAATTCGCGCCCGGGACCAGCATACAAATGCCTTTAGCCAAAGGATAATATAATGCACGTTGTTGAAGAATAATGGTCCTGCCAGAAGACAACGTCGCCATCGTCGTTGTCGTCCAAGGGACTAAGCATGTCTGCCATCCCAAAAAAAAAAAAAAAATGGAAAACGTAAAATAAAGGAAAGGGCACAGTCCCGGCTTCTAAGGAGCCCTGGATTCAAGGAGAACGAACGGACAATAACGATGCCGAGGCAACGGCAATGACAGGCAATTTTAATAGAATCTGCGTCGGGTATGGGTCTACGGACTTAACTTGGTGCGTGCCTTGGCCTCAGGACATCCCGGACAGCTTCAATTTGCAGCACCAGCCTATGGATTTTCAATGAACTGAGAAACAGGATGCGGCATCCCAGGGGTTGTGGAAATGATTTATACTCCCGTCCAGAGTCAACAATCAATGTTCAAAATTCGTTGAAGAAAGACCTGTTGGAATCAAAAAGATTAATGGTAATATTTTGGTATTTGCTTGTGTAGTATTTTACCATCTCTAGTAATTGCAATTTCTACGGAATTATTAACAATTATATGGTTCCGATTTAAGGAATTTTTTTAATACGATAGACCAGTTCCGATTATCTCCCCAAACAATGAAGTTACTATTACTGATCGTCTACGGAATCGCAAAAACCTGGTCTCATGTGGAACTTATCACACATGATGCCTTTTATGCTGCGATTGTTAGCACTTTCCCAGATCAGAACATTATCTTTTCCACCGAAATGATACGAACCAGCATGCTCTTCATCTACATTGGAGTGGAGAAGACCGAGTCTTCGGAAATGGAGAAGTCACTGCACTACCAGGGCCTCAAGCTCTCAGACTATAAGCCCGACTCTGAAAAGATCCTCAACATGCTCTGGCAGGATAACGTGGTGGCCAAGAGCACTACTCGCTTTTTTGTGAAACAGAGTCTTAAACTGTCCACTGAGTATCGAATGTTTATGAGGCATACGGAGGGAAGGGCCCAAAATATCGTCTTTAATGCCGAGAAGCTCAAGGAAGTCAATGAGTTCTTCAAAAGCGAAATGGGCGAAAGAATGGGCGAGGTGATCAACGAGTCCTACTGGAAGCCGGACAACATGGGCCTCCTGGTCAACGCCATGTACTTTAATCTGAGTTGGGAGCGCACCTTTAATCCGGCTGCCACCTACGACCGCGAATTCCGAGTCAGCAGTCAAAAGACAATCAAGGTTCCCATGATGCACGAGGACAGTAAGTTTGCATTTGGCGTCCTGGAAAAACTACAGGCCACCGCCCTCCTTCTGCCATTTTCGCAGGGGGACTTGACTATGCTCCTGGTCAAGCCGAACCAGCCGGATGGACTGAGTGACCTGGAACAGAAGCTATCCAAGCTCGATGTTCATGACCTGACGACCCGGCTGACCATGTCGGAGGTGTTTGTGGCCATTCCCAAGTTTCATGTCCGCTGCGACTTGGAGTTAAGGCCGGCTCTGGAGAAAATCGGCATTAAAAAGATTTTTGTGGCTAGCAAGTCCTTTTCCACTTTGTTGCAAAGAAATGCCCTTTTTCAGATATCCGGAGTGAGACATATGGTTTCTTTTGAGTTTCAAGAACAAGGCATTGGCCCTCCGCCAACAGCAGTTGGTGAGTTTTTCTTGTATATTTCTTATTATTTAATTTAATTTCTTATTTTCAGGTAATGGCAGCTTGACTCATACCTTCAATGAAGTTAAATACTTTCTGGGAAATCATCCATTTGCTTTTTACATCATCGACAAGGAGTCGACTTTTTTTGCAGGACATGTTACAACTTTCTAGTTTTGTTTTCAAGAAATCTTGGGCCTAATACTCTGTTATATTTTTGTAAATATATTTTGTTCTTATTCGAATTTTGGTTTCTGTTGTTTCTCTTGTCAAAATTTTTGTAATCTCAAACATATTTTATAATGCAGTATTAATTGGCAACCATTTTTGTGTTAAACTTGTAAATTTTGTAAATAAATATTAGAAATCACAATGGAAGCCACTCACAAGTCTGAAGCCAAGATGCGAAGCTCTGAGCTACGCACACTCCAAATTTTGGGTTATCCTGTACGGATTGTCCAATCTGAGCCGCGTTTCAAGGTGGAGGTCATCGTAAAGTCCCTAAACTTTGATCAGGTGGGAAGCCCTGATCCCCGGGTTGCCTGTACACTGCTCTTCACTTGCCCGGAACAGTACCCTCGGGCCTCGCCCACGGTTCGTATTGTTAAGAAAAGGAACTTTCCGGACTTTCTTGAGCTGCTGATGCTGACGGAGTTCGGAAGACTTAAGGGTTCGGGACGTGGCAGGCAGCAGATAGTCCGGATGGTCACAAAGGCCAGGGCCTTGGTGGAGCAAATGGCGAGGCAAATGAAGAAGGAGCTGCAATTGTTTCAGGATGCCGAAGAGTTGGGTATGGAGGTCCTCACTTCTTTTAAGGAACTAAAGTTCTAATCTTCTATTTACCTTGTAGATGTGCTCTAACGTCACTATCTCAAAATTTATTTTGAATTAAAAAATTTGTATAAGTATCAAACAATAAAGTAAGATATTAGTTGGAGAAGCGTATTAGTTTAATGTGTGTTTAATTTATTAGCTAATAGACTTGATTTGTTTAATATTCGTATAAAATTCATAAATGCCTTCTAGCATAAAAGTAATAATGATCATTTGTGGCCGCGAATTCATTTATTGCGGGTGCTAAAATATCTTTTGATTAGCCTGCGGAATGTTTCTGGTTGTGGCCCATAAGAATCCAGGTCATGTAGCCGGCATATAAATCCCAGCAAATTCATGCATGACCCATAAAAGACCTGGACACCACCACACCCACTCCATAAACTGGGGAAGCGAGAGCGCTGGCACTTCAGGAACATATTTCCTATATATGACTGCAACTTTTGGTAGAGTCAAGCCGGGCGGGGTATAAAAATTTCAACACGCTTACACAAAAATTGCCAATTAAGCGCATTTATGACTGCAACGCAACGCCAGCGGAAGTATGTGTGGCATGCAACTAGAGTGAGGCGTGGGCGGAGGCGGAGGCGGAGGCGGAGGCAAGACTCCCCTGTGGAAACAGTGTCTGGCCCATAAACATCCTTAATGCGTGGACGTGTGCACTCCGAAGACGCTCGCCGGATTATTAAGAAACAATGAAGCCGGAACGCCGCTAGAAGCCATAAAAGCGGACACATAATGCCCGGTTTATGGGGCAAGTTAAAACCGGAAACTAAATAGTTGACACCGCGCGGACATTGACCATCGTGGTGGCGTGGAAGAGGGGCGGAATCCAGAATCTCGTAAAGCCATCCGGGTCAATGACGAAAACATAATTTGTAATTTGAATTTGCTTCGTGTTCAAGCATAAGCAATGAGGGAGAAGGCGTATCCTTTTGACTTTATTTTTGTGGGCCATATCAGAAATTCTGATGGCGTTTCGTTTATGCCCCATATAGTTGTGAAGGATTCTGCAGGATTTGTGTCTTCGCAAATTAGATAAATAGTTGCTTCTTTTATTTGCAAAACAAATCAACTAAAATATGAACTTTTTCTTTAAAAATTTTCCTCCGGGAGTGAGGCTTTCAGGGATACATTTATCCTTTTTGGCTGATTTATGCGCTTATCACGAAGGCGTCGCTGTTTTTATATCCTTGTCGTCGCCGTCGCCGTCTGTTGGCCATAAATGTCCTCGCCAGAGTCCTGCTAACAAATTTGCCATTTTAATGCTCCTGTTCCGGGTCCTAGCGCTTTTCAATTTCTGCACAAATACCTGGGACATGGCTTAGACGTTCGTTCTTCGTCCTTCAGCCTTTGTCGATGTGGGGTGTGACAGTTTTTCATTACGCACAAATCCTTTGGGCATACACAGTCACATTAAAAAAGGATGTTGACTTAAAGCACCAAAAAGAAAAAAAAAGGATACAAAAATATAAGAAGGCAACGACGTCGGCCGAATAATAAAAATAAAAGCTGTAAGCAAACAAGATTGTGAGGAAAAGACTGCAGTCTTAGGTATTTCATAAAAATCGTCGCCAGCTTATCGTTGCTTTAAGATGTCTGCATGTCCTGTGTGTCTCTGTCCTGGGCACATGTGAGTGAGTGAGTGGTAGTGGGGGTGTGGGTGTCCTTTGCCCTGCGACACTTTGAAAGTGACATTATGCAACTTTGAGCGGCGGCAACAAGAACTGCAGCTATCTAAATTACCCAGAGACATCCGGCTTGGCAGGACGTTCTTATATGCTCAAGGATCAACAGGAAGCGCCCCAAGGAGTCTGACTAGCTCCTTATTCCTTATGTGCCACTTGCTATTTTTGGCTTATTTTTTTTTATTTTGCTGCAACAGGAAGGAAATGTGAACATGCAAAGCCAAAAAATAGAGTCCTGGCTAGCCGGAGATAAGTTAAGTAGAAGTCGCCAATTAATGTGTCGTCCTGCACGTGTTAACATTGTTCGCCCACTTCAGGCGACCAGGACCAGGACACAGGGACCACCATCAGGAGCACCAAGTGTCCGCCAGCCAAGGCCAAAAAGTCACGTATTTCTGCGTGAGTTGCAGACTCGATAGCAGTTACCCTTTTAAAGTTTGAATTTATCCTTTTGTTTATAGACTTCAAAAAATAAAACTAAACCCTTTTGGGTTGGAAGGATCCCATTTATTTTAACACCTTATATGGGAATATTGAAGTTGCACTTAACATCGCAAGGAGGACAGAGATAAATGATATTGATTCACCTAGAAAACAAATCTAATCCTGCGAAGATGGCCTTCGCATCTCCGTGTTCATCATCATTTGTAGACGTGTCACCACCGGAACAATCATCTGGAGACCCAGGTGCTGCTCTAATGTCTGGGCAATCTCCTCGTGGAGTGCCTGCTCCAAGGCGTCGCTTATGTTGCGCTTCTCCACAATTTCCACATGTGGCACCTGAAGCGGATAGCTGGCCGGGCAGGTGAAAATCAGCTGGAGGGCGTAACCGCCACGTTCCCCCGACCCAGCTGCCGCAGCTCCGTCGTCGAAGTTCAAGGTGGCCAGAGGTACTTTCAACTGTAGCCTAGGTCGTCGGGCAAGGACCATGTAGGCCAGACCCAGATAGTGCATTGTTCGGACCTCGTTGTCCTGCAAATCCCCAAAAAAGCGGGATGCCCTCTCACTATCCCAGTTCGACAAGCTCTCCTTCCTGATAATGATTATCCTTTCTCCGGCTTCGGTTGATGTTCCTCCAGCTATTACTCCTCCACCTGCTTCTAGGGCTGCTCCTCCCGCTCCAGCTGCTCCTCGCGTCCTGTGCGTCATCCTTCGCTAATTTCGAATTTTGATTATTCCTTTTATTTTTGTTTAGGAAATTCCTACTTTGCCAAGACTGTTGCTAGACTTCCGAAATAATCTGAAATGTAATGCCAGGCAATGGCTGAAAGAAGATTTGCATAGTCCTCCCCATCAAAGCAATAACAGATGGATGGATGGGACATCAGCCTATCATAAGGCCTGGGATCTCATCAGAGTGGGGGTTGGGATTTGGTAAGGATTTCAAATATGATGAGGTATGAATACCCTGCCATTGAAGGCACAATCACTAGACTTGTTTATACTATTTGTTGGCTTCAGCTTTAACGCGAATGAGAAAACCCACATCCCCCTATAAAGAGTATCATAATACCCTTACCGCAAATTGAGTTTTCTCGTTTTGGCTGATTTGATTAGCCCAGATTTGCTGGTCTCAGTGCTATGCAAATTAGTTGTGTGATTATCGCGAAAATTGGCAAACACAAGGAGGACTCCACACCCACCCTTCCATCTTCGTTCGCTGGAAAAGAAGGCGAAACCACAACCCTCGGAATAGTTTCCCGAGGCAGACGTGCGTGCTCTGGCCCCCTCCGGCACTTGGGAAATCTTCCACGCATATGAGTAACATTTTTATTAGCCTCCGAGAAATTTGCATTTTAAAGCAGTTTCAGTCACGTGACGAGGTCTGATTAAGCCGCATGTGTTGAATGAAAGGATAGATGGATTACTGGATGGTGGGTGGGTGTCCCTTTGATTTTACGCCTCGCCGCCTTCGTATAGTGTCGTCGCCACTAATGAGAGAAGATGCATGAACACTCCACTCGTTCGGCATCAATCAGGATTCAATAAACCAAAGAGCAGCTTCAATCTTCATTAGAATCCGTAGAGTGACGTAAAACCCGTTATCGCACCCGTACTCGTGCCCGTAACCCGCATCGAACTCACTCAAACATGTTGCAACATTGCCCCTACAACAGCCGGAGCCTGAGCCGAATGGGCGGTGACCCACCCACATTTTCCGGCCACTTTTCCGAGGGAAAGCTCTCGGCTGTCGGTGCCAGTTGGTTGGCCAGCTGGCTGTTCGTTTCGAGGAAAAGTTTGAGGCACCTAGCACCCAGATGGAAACGCCCCGGAACGTGACCAAATCGCATTCGGGGCGTGTGCACCCCGAAAAGTGCCGGAGAACAGGAAGGAAGTCCGGGTCCGGACTGCGGAATACGGACTACGGACTACGGACTCCGGACATCTCCCCTGAGTACTCCATACTATACTACTTTTCTGATTTTCAGATTTTCCCTCAATCTTGTATTGACTTTTTCCAGTTGCTGTTTTTGCTGGATTTTGCCACTTTGATTGGCTGGGGTTTGAGTTTTGGGGGGTTTCGGGCTTGGGGTTTCGGGTTCCAGGCTTTGTTTCCTTCCCGAAAAGTTTCCTGAAGCACTTGTTTACGATTTGAAGTGCATTTTGAAAGGAGGCGAGGCATGGGAGACTCGGCGACTACTGTCATAATTTCAGAAGCTGAAGCTCTGCCATGTCTGAGCCATCGATTGCGATCTCTCCTCCGGCAGCAAGTGTGAAAAGTTTTCCACTTCGGCAGCAAATCTCAGCTGTTAAGTTCCTTGGTTATGCTAATGAGGCAAACTTTGCCACTTCTCCGATCGCTGGCAAGATTGTTCATAATTGAAAGTTTTGTTCCTGTCTGTTTTTCGGTTGCCCGAACTTGGTTTCTAGTGGTTGCCCCGGATGGGTTGCTTTGGGGGAAGCCCCACCCTAAATTCAGACACACCCTCTTATGTTGAACAAGTAAATCATATTTGTAGCTCTACTTCGCCCTGCCCCCTATCCTCTATCCCATTGATAAGATACTACCTTTCACCGAAGGTTATAAGAGGCCATTCTTAGCAGAAGTGGAGGAGGAGTATCATTACTGCCTTGCCAGCATGAAGTACTCGACCCTGGTAATACTGGGCCTGCTCTTGGCCCTGGCCTTCGTGGTTGAGGCCAAGTCCAAGTCCAAGAAACAGAAAAACAAACAGAAGCAGAAGGTTCTTCCCCTGGCAGAGCCCTGTAGGCCGGAGAACTGTAAGCTTCCCGAGTGCCGCTGTTCGGATGCCGTGCTGCCCAGGTCCAAGTTTCAGGGCAAGGAGAGCGAGATCCCCCAGTTTGTGACCATCACCTTCGATGATGCCGTCAATGCCGTCAACTACGCCCAGTATGAACTGCTTTTCGATGGACTGATCAATCCCGATGGGTGTTCGGCGGCCGGAACCTTCTTCCTTTCCCACGAATACACCGACTACGTCCGTGTCAACGCTCTCTACCGGGCGGGCCATGAAATCGCCCTGCATTCGGTGACCCACGGCGATGGTACCGACTACTGGCGGTCTGCGGATGTGGCCACCATTGAACGCGAATTCGGGGCCCAGCTGAAGATGCTGAAGGCCTTTGCCAAAGTGGATCCCAAGGATGTTCATGGCATGCGACTTCCCTTCCTGCAGATTTCTGGAAATAATACCTTCGAGGCTGCCCGTCGTTTGGGCTTGAGCTACGACAGTTCCTGGCCCACGCAGCAGTTTAAGGATCCTGCCATGTGGCCCTACACCCTGGACTACCAATCGAAGCAGGACTGTCAAATCGGACCCTGCCCGGAGGCCTCTATTCCCGGGCTCTGGGTCAATCCCATGGTCACCTGGACGGACACCGAGGGCTACAGCTGCTCCATGATCGATGCGTGTGTTTATCCGCCGGAGGACAAGGTGGACGACCTCTTCGACTGGATGTTGGAGAACTTCAACCGCCACTACGAAGGCAGCCGTGCCCCATTCGGAATGTACTTGCACGCAGCCTGGTTTTCGCGAGGACGCAGTTACTTCGGAGCTTTCAAAAAGTTAGTTTTCAAAAAATTAAACGAATTCCAACTAAGGTGACCTTCAATCCGCAGATTCATCCACCATTTAAACACCTACCCAGATGTCTATTTCACCGGAATTTCCCGCATGTTGGAGTATGTTAAACGTCCCGTTTTGGGAGCTCCCTTCCAGGAATGCCCGGAACTGCCGGAGACCGAGTGCCGGGCAGTGCAGTGTCATGTCCAGAAGCTATCCACCGGCGAGGACCGCTACATGACGGTCTGCGACAAGTGTCCTGCCGTCTACCCGTGGCTGGACAATCCGCTGGGCGAACAGCGGTAAGCCCCCAAGCCTATTTGGCCAATAAAGAGAATACACTGAGAAAACGAAAATCCCAACAACATAGTTTCGCCAAAATATTCCGCAATTATCCAGATATATTTTTGGTGAATTTTGTAATGTAGCCGCCATGTAGGGCCTCCATTTTTAGCCAAAACATTGGCTTTTCCAAAACAGGTCCTTCTAAACAAATTTGCATACACCATACCATGGATTTAGCTGATAAATGAGCCCAAATTATGTTTCTCTCTGTGAGACGCTTAATTAACTCATTCAGCGGAGAACCCTCGAGTGTAGTCATATTTCATAGCCATCTCATGAATTAATACGCAAATTTCCGGGTCCTCTAACATGTCCTGTTTTTGGGGTCCTGTCAATGCAGCTGCTACCTGTAAATAGCGTTCCGACCGACACAGCCAACACGGCCAGCTGCCTTCGGTTGCATTTTTGTTAATGGACCTCTAACTAATGACAGCCTCCGGGTTGCATATCAGTCAGAGCCGTAGTTGTAGCCGGAGCTCGAGCCGGCCATGGAGTGGGTATCCTGTCCGGCCGCATTTGCGGTTGATGTCGCAAATTATGTATGCGGTCGGCCGAGGAGTCACCTCGTCCCAGAGGTGACCTAAGCTGGGGGAGGTAGCAATTGGACAGGTTGGACATTTAGCCAACCACAACATATTGGTTGATAGTTGGCATGGCCAAGAAGAAGGTAGAGTAAGACGGTGGCAATCGAGGGCCCTTGCCAGTTAGCCAGGCCTAATGAACGTGGAAGGATAAGGTTACGAGGGAGGAGATTTAAATGCGGCTTGCTTAAGTGAAACTTCCCTTCCAACTGACCCATTAAAAAAATAACTTTAAAGAACTTTTTTTTTAAAGAAATTTATTCACAACTTGCTACACTAGACTCTTCTGTGACAGTGTTTGTTGGCCAGGACATAGCCCTGAGGACAATTGGCCTCCAGGATGTTGTAGGGTTTCACCTGCATCGCTCCAATTTCGTACCAGGGCTCCGCAGGGCTCGATTCATTAAGGTCAGCTGCGCTATCCACCTTAATATCCATGGCCTCCACAATTTCGCTGTCCGTGGCCAGAGCTCCCAGGACCAGGATGTAAAAAAATAGACAGAAAAACACTGTACTCCACGATGCCATGATAGAGGTGGTTCGTATCCGCCGAGTAGCCAACAATAACTGAAGCCAACTAACCGATTTCGATCAACCATTACAATTCGATGGCCAAGACAATTGTGAAAGTGGCCAGAGCCTTATAAGGCAGGTGGCTGGTACAAGGGCTCTTCACATTTTTGCTTTCCAAGGCTGGCCGACAGCATATCAGATCTGCCTTGATAGATTTCAATTTTTGCATTTCAGGGGGAAATATATAAAATATATATACAAACAATAATAAGCAAACAATGCCTCAGACATTCAAGACAAACGAAGAAAAACCCAGCTTTTATGAAAATGAAGAGAATGCTTGAGAAAATCGCAACAAAACTGTGCAAATATTTGCTGATTACTTTCCGAAAGTTGCACTGATTAACAGCCGCACGGAAGTCTTGTCCTTTTGTCAGGATCTAACCTCAAGGACCCCCATCCCAGCAATTAAAGAATTCACCCCTCAACTCTCACCCTCGTGTTTAGCATAAATTTTGCATTGTCTTCGGGAGGATGGAAGGTGGTTGTCATAAATAAATGACTCTACGAGCCTTGTGGCCCTGCCTCAGCTGTCTGTGACCTAAACAGGCATTATTTTAATGTACTTTTATGTAGTACACAGCCGAAAAAAAAGGTTTCCAGTATTTAACCCACATACACACACGCACCCACCGCCAAATGACATTTTTATGTTTCAATTTTCAGTTTCTTTTCTTTTAAGGTCTTCGCGAAAATTATGCCCACCACCCCAGAGCATCATCGTCCTGGCACTTTGATGATGATGACGGTGGGTGGTGTCACTGGGTGGGTGATGCTGGGCCCTTCCTGCCTTATGTGGCCTGCCTTGGCTGATAATAGAATTGTCAAAATTATTGCCCCAAATTGCTGACATTTATTAGGAAGGTTACAGACCCCGGGAAATGAAAAGGAAACCACTTAGGTTATGAAATATGTATGGTTTTTACGTCAATCTTTAAAGGTATTTATACCTTTTAAAGACTTTAAAGAATCAACTATTTTCCGATTCTAACTGACCTATCCCGGTGACTCAATACTACCTTTTATTAGCTTATAATAACCTCACAACCATTTTGTATTTCAAATGCAAAAAATCGCATTTAGCGACTCACTTGTTTTATAGCTAATTGCATAAGGGGTTTCTATTTATTTTCCTGTTCGTCTTATCGAAAAAACAAACATTCTCGACAGAGTCTACAACTAACAACAGGCCAACAAGTCTCTTTTTCCGGCTACTGTCTCTCTGAATGATTTTCTAAATGAATCTGAAATTGAAACTGAAACCCAGTCAGAGTCAGAGACACAAACGAAGACAGAGACCCGGGCTTCAGTCTCGAGTCCGATATTGGCGAGCGTGAACGTGTTTACCTGGGCTTCGATTGCAAAATACTCATTCATTGGCATTAAAAACAATCATACTGCGATGGCAATTACACGGCCAGAGCTTGTGTTTTTGTTTGTTTGGCTGTTTTTGGTCTTGGACCTAAACCTGGCGGCTCGTCTTCCAAGCGATCGGCCAGCCGTCTTCCCCTCGAACTCCGAGCCCAATGGAGCAGTGCCTATCATGTTAGAGTCACGGCAGCGGGAAATCGATCTGGAGCTGCAGGAGGTGATAAGGCAGATGAATATGAGCCTGGTTATGCCAACGAAAATGCGGAAGGGCTTGGCGCGAACTACGGAAAGCGAAAACCGGTCGGAGCGACCAGGAAATGCTAATGAGGAAACCAGAAATGCAACCGAATCCATCAAGAATGCTGCCAATGAGAAGAGCCAGATTCCTTCTAGCGAATCCAAAATGATAACCTTTGCCAAGGAACAGGATTCGACAGAGAAGCCTCTGTGGGCTGAAATGGATGCCGTCAATATAACCGACTACAAGCCAAATGTGGTGATCGGGCCGAGAATCACGCTGGAAACCCAAAGAGTGTGTCCGGAAGGAACCATACGCAGCGAGGGACATTGTCGCAAAATCGCCTAAAACATAATAAAGTGATATTTTGTAAACAAATAGTGACCAGCAATCAGAAACGCAAATAAAACTGAAATAGAAACAGACAAATAGGTGATGCAAAAAAAATATACATAATCAGAAGCTAACCTTGTCAATATTTCAAATCAAACCTATGATTATATTAAATTCTTATCAACTATGAAATAACAACCTCTGCGACATGCGCCATTTTTCTCCCAGTGTAGACTAGTACAGGTATATCTGAAAAGCTTTTCAACTGCTCTGCTGCTTTGTTTACGTTTTGCGTTTTTTTGGGAGAGTAAAAAATTACCTCTCGCCTTATTAATTCACTTTGGGCTCCGGCTCCAGCTCTGCGGGTTCCCACAGTTTATCTGTCTGGTTTTTCGGTGGGAGTCGGAGTGGGAGTGGGAATGGGAATCGGTGTGAGAATGGAAAGATCACCGGATAGCCACCAACGCTCAGTCTCAAAAGCTTCGTCGTAGCAACCAAACGCGCATCTGCCAGATAGAAGTCATGCCGTATGCTGTTAACCCATTGATGCTTTGCATCTTTTTCCTGGCTCTGGTGGTCCTAGCCATCGAAGCGAGATCCCGACCCGGTGGCGACGATCGCATTGTGTTTCCCAAGGACGAGGATGGCCCTTCCATTCACTTTCCGTTTCCCAAAGCCAACATTACAAAAACTGCCACAACCACAACTGAGAGACCTGCAACCACAACAGACACAGGCAACACAGAACCCACCGTTCTACCAACGTCAGAGGAGGAACCCAATGGAAACAGCACAGTTCTACCCATCATTATAAATCGAATATTGATTGATACTGACAGAAAGTGCAGAGATGGATACGAGCTTCATGCCCAACGGTGTCGAAAGGCCGCTTAGTAGATTCTAAGAAATGTCAATAAATTAAAATATATGTAGTTCTACTTATACAACTAGTGTAGATGATAGATAGGCGAAATCTTTGGCGGTGATTAGTCAAAACAACATTCAAAGACTCACAAATGAAAAAAACAACACCAAAATCCCCCCAAACACAAAACAAATGGCACTTTCGGTTGCGGGAGAAACACAATGGGAAAGTCTAAGCTCTAGACCTTGTAAAGCAAACTAATTACAGTGTGGTCTCCACTTCGTGACTCATTGCATTTTCAGTTGGGAGTCATTTTTCTGTGCTCTCGGCTCCGCAGATCGATTGATGCGTTATCAGGTGTCATGAACCCGGCTTATCAGCTCGGCTTTATAAATATATATTCATTGCCCTAGCTATATCACCTCCCTAGCCGGAGAGTTCGCTTCAGTCTCAATCGATTATTCAAATACGCTGGTGGTTAGTCTGCTGACACTGTTTCGTGAAATGTCTTCCCAGTTCTTATCTCTGGGATGGGTTTTGGCGCTGACCATTGCTTTCTTTGGCCAAAGGTTAACTGCCTATCCGCAAAATCCTTACTACGTCGAAGGAAGTGGCGAAAGCGGTCCACGGGGTCATTGGAGGTAACTCAGGCTTTCAATCTCAGACAGAGTCAGATATGGTATAAAACAAATATTATTTTGTTTCAAAATGTCTCAAAATGTAGACACCATCACGGACATCATGACCACGGATACCACAACAACAATAACTGGCCAGCACATGGTCCAGTTGGAGTGCCGGACACACAGCCTCTGCCAACAGGACATTATCCCAGAAACCCATACAATCAAATTCCAGGAGGTTTTCGGCAGCCTGGTGGATTCTTTGAAGGTGGCCAAGGCTTTAGACCACAACCTGGACCGGGCTATGCTGCCGATGGTGGTTTCAACAGAGGACAGCCCGGATTTAGGTTCCCACCACCCGTTAATAATTATTCTCCCCAATATCCTCGACCCGGCAGTGAAGAAAGCTTCAACCCAAGACAACCTGGCTTCAATCAACCCGCGTATCCTCGTCCTGGTCAAATACCTGGTAATTCACCAACGTATCCCCGGCCTGGTCAGTTTCCAGGAGGATTCCAGCAGCCCGAGGGGGAAGAGAATTCAAGCCCCAATCAGCCCGGTTTTCAGTCACCCGATGGAAATAGAGGACAGCCTGGCAACCAACCCACTTATCCAAGACCGGGTGGTGGTCGACTTCAACCACTGCCTGGAGGATTTCAACAGCCAGACAGTGAAGAAAGATTGAACGCAGGTCAGTTACCTAATGGAAGTAGAGGACAACCTGGCAACCAACAACCAGGAGGTAACAGTTCACCCAATTACCCATTTCCAGGAAGTGGCGGAACTTCGTTCCAGTCGGGACCAAGTCAAGGTGGATCTCAACCGCCAGCTGGCAGTGGAGAAAACATCTTCCAACAGTCTCGTCCAAACCCGAGCCGAGCTCCTAGCGGATTTCCAAGTCGGGGCCAGACACCTGGAAATCAGAATACCCTCCAGCCCCGCCCTGGAAATGAAGAGGACTTCACGCAGTTTAACTTCCAGTCACCTCATACGCTTCAACCGCGACCTGGTCAGGATGAGTTCGCTGGTAGAGCTGGGAGTCCCGGAAATACCCTTCAACCTATTCCTGGTGGACAAAAGCCACAAGGAACGGTGATCCAGCCGAAGCCTGGCCAGAGTCCCACTCCTGAAAATGTGGACAGCAGTCTCAGTGACATTTTCAAGACCAATGAATTCCTGTCGCCCGAGTTGAACAGTCCAGGAGGATCCGGAATAGCAGCCCAAGCCGATCCCAAGTCGGATGCCACAGATATAAATCCGGAATCTGTGAATGAACGCAATCTCTTCGACACGGAGCCGCACTGCAAAGACGGTACAGAACTGATGTCGAAACGTTGCCGGAAGACTGCATAAAATGTGCTCAGAACGTCTCCACGTCATCCTGGAATTGGTGTCATACAAATTTAGTAATACCTTATTGGCCCAATAAATGTGCGAATTCAAGTTATCAAAACAACAGATAATTTTAATTAAAATTTGATAAATACCATTGTTCATTGTATCATTGTATCATTGTTTATGTAAGACGGGAAGAGCTACGATCTCAGTTGTTAAAATAACAACAAAAAACGAAAATGCGGCACAATAGGTATTGAAATCCAAATTTCCCAATTCAATTGATATTTTTCTTCCTAACTCTGGCTTCATAACTAGGTCGTGCAATATTTGATACATTTTTAAGGTCTGGATGTTCCTGGTACATTGTAAACACAGTCTTCCAGAGAACGATACATTCCAGAATGACATGCGCTTTCCTAACTTTTGCTTTAATGGCACTAATTGTGGCTTGTAATAGCCAGCCACCTCGGGATTGCTGGTTCAGTCTTGATGACACTTTAAAAAACAATCATTCAATAAAGCAGTAACTCCTTCGCTATAAGGGATATATGTACATACCTTACTACCATTGCTGTGTTTACAAATTTTCTTTACTTAATTAAATCCACATTATTCAAAGGGAACATTTAAACAAAATTAAAAAATGTGTAACAAATCCATTTTTCTTACAAAAAAGTATATAAAGCAAATCAGTTCTTAAAGGTTTCATTTCGTATTAAGTTTTTAGAAAGTGCACTTCAAAAATGATACGCTTTCTTGACATTCCTATTTGGCTTTTCATACCAGCCATATTTAATGTTTTTTGTGGTCGAAGGGAAAAAGAATCCTGGCTCTGCATTTCTACGTTGAGTCCCTTATACAAAGGTTAAATTGGTTGTTAAAAAAATTATGAAAACAATATTTCAATAAAGCACTTACTTTATACAATCATTCAATAAAGCACCTACGCTGTAGGGGACCTACTCCACTTTCTTTGCTGTGTATGGAAATTTTCTAACCATATCTAAATCCACAATATTTACAGCATATTAGCCATCTTTCATTTGGCTCTCTTATATCTCCTTGTGAACCAGGAATAAATCCCCGAGAGTGCCGTTCTACTATGTGTCCCTATTGGGGAGGCTAAATTCGTTTTTTAAAGAATTATACAAAAAATCATTTAATAAAGCGCCTAATCATACTCCACTTTCTACTACACTCCGCTGGGCTTGGAATTTTTTTGTAAATATTTAAATCCACATTATTCACAGGGAACATAAAAGAAAAATAGAAAAAAGTGTAACAAATCAATTTTTCATATAAAAAAGCATATAAAGCAAGTCAGTTCTTAAATGTTTCATATTGTATCAAGTTTTTAGAAATTTTACTTCGAAAATGATACGCTTTCTAGACATTTTTGTAAACCAAGGGAAAAAGACACCCGGTTCTGCGTTTCTACTGCAGGTCCCTATTGGGAAGACTAAATTTGTTTTTAAAAAAATTATGAAAACTATATTATAATAAAGCACTTACTTTATACAATCATGCAATAAAAGACCTTCGAACCTACTTCATTTTCTTTGGTGTGTTTGGAAATTTTCTTTACATAATTAAATCCACATTATTCACAGGGAACATTTAAACAAAATTACAAAAAAATGTGTAACAAATCAATTTTTCTTACGAAAAAGTATAAAAAACAAGTCAGTTCTTAAATGTTTCATATTGTATCAAGTGTTTAAGAAGTGCACTTCGAAAATGAAACGCTTCCTTGACATTCCTATTTGGCTTTTCATATCAGCCATGTTTAATATTTTTTGTAGACCAGGGCAAAATGACCCCCGGATCTGCGTTTCTACTCCAGGTCTCTTTTGGGAAGACTAAATTTGTTTTTAAAAAAATTATGAAAACTATATTATAATAAAGCACTTACTTTATACAATCATGCAATAAAAGACCTTCGAACCTACTTCATTTTCTTTTGTGTGTTTGGAAATTTTCTTTACGTAATCAAATATAGATTATTTACAGGGAACACTTAATCAAATTTAAAAAATGTGTAAAACATCAATTTCTTACATAAGAAAGTATATATAAGCAATTCTGTTCCTAAATATTTCATTTTGTATCAAGTTTTTAAGAAGTACACTTCGAAAATGAAACGCTTTCTTGACTTTCCTATTTGGCTGTTCATATTAGCCATAGCTAACGTTTATTGTAGACCAGGAATTCATTGCCCTTCTACTAAGCTTCCCTTTGGCGTTGGGGAAGACATACTTTCTTAAAAGAATTATAAAAACAATCATTTAATAAAGCACCAAAACCTACTCCACTTTCTTTGCTGTGTTTGGAAATTTTCTTTTACATATTTAAATCCGCATTATTCACAGGGAATCGTTAAACAAAATTAAAAAATGTGTAACAAATCAATTTTTCTTATAAGAAAATATATATGTATAAGCAAGTCAGTTTTTAGGTCCCTGGGGAGTCTAAAATCGTTTTTTAAAAAATTATAAGAAAAATCATTCAATAAAGCACTTACTTTATACAACAAGCGCATTGAATCAATAAAGCACCTACGCTATAGGGAACCTACTCCACTTTCTTTGCTGTGTATGGAAGTTTTCTTACCATATTTAAATCCACAATATTTACAGCATAAAGGCCATTTTTCATTTGGCTCTCTTATATCTCCTTGTGAACCAAGAATAAATCCCCGAGAGTGCCGTTCTACTAGGTGTCCCTATTGGGGAGGCTAAATTCGTTTTTAAAAGAATTATAAAAAAAATCATTTAATAAAGCGCCTAATCATACTCCACTTTCTACTACACTCCGCTGGGCTTGGAATTTTTTTGTAAATATTTAAATCCACATTATTCACAGTGAACATTTAAGCAAAATAATAAAATGTGTAACAAATCAATTTTTCATATAAAAAAGTATATAAAGCAAGCCAGTTCTTAACTGTTTCACTTTGTATCAAGTTTTTAAGAAGTGCACTACGAAAATGAAACGCTTTCTTGACAATCCTATTTGGCTGTTTATATTAGCCATATTACCTTTATATTGTCCATCAGGAGTTAACAGGTCGCAGTGCCTTTCTACTGCGGATCCCATTTGGAATAAATCCCACATTGGCTAAATTCGTTTTTAAAAAAATTATGAAAACAATATTTTAATAAAGCACTTACTTTATACAATCATTCAATAAAGCACCTAAGCTATAGGGGACCTACTCCACTTTCTTTTCTGTGTATGAAAATTTTCTAACCATATCTAAATCCACAATATTTACAGCATATAAGCCATTTTTCATTTGGCTCACTTATATCTCCTTGTGAACCAGGAATAAATCCCCGAGATTTCCGTTCTACTAGGTGTCCCTATTGGGGAGTCTAAATTCGTTTTTAAAAGAATTATAAAAAAAATCATTTAATAAAGCGCCTAATCATACTCCACTTTCTACTACACTCCGCTGGGCTTGGAATTTTTTTTTGAAATATTTAAATCCACATTATTCACAGGGAACATTTAAGCAAAATAAAAAAATGTGTAACAAATCAATTTTTCATATAAAAAAGTATATAAAGCAAGTCAGTTCTTAACTGTTTCACTTTGTATCAAGTTTTTAAGAAGTGCACTACGAAAATGAAACGCTTTCTTGACAATCCTATTTGGCTGTTCATATTAGCCGTATTACCTTTATATTGTCCCTCAGGAGTTAGTAAGTCGGAGTGCCTTGCTACCGTGGATCCCATTTGGACAAAATCCTACCTTGGCTAAATCCGTTTTTAAAAAAATTATGAAAACAATATCACTTACTTAACGTAAATCACTTACTTTATACAATCATTCAATAAAGCACCTTCGCTACAGAGGATATACTTCACTTTCTTTAGTGTTTTTGGAAATTTTCTTAATATATTTAAATCCACATTTTTCACAGAGAACATTTAAGCAAAATAAAAAGTGTAACGAATTTTTTTTTATTAGGCTTAACAAGCGTATTAAAAGGAAAGTTAATTCTTAAATGTTTCATTATGTCTCAAGATTTTTAGAAGGAAATTTCCAAAATGAAAAGCTTGACATTCTCACTTGGCTACCCATACTAGCCATCACAATGAAACCTTGTGAACCAGGAACCATTACGGAGGGGCTCGTAAATTGCGTCCATACTACGAGAAGCTATTGGGGAGGCTAAATTAATTTTTAACAAATTTTTAAAAACAATCATTCATTAGGGCTGGAGACTTCCTATATTGCGTTTAAAGTTTAAACTTTTTTCCGTAATTCGTAGAACTTTGCAGAGGATATTTTACTTTTGGTCAAAGGTATGCAACGCAGCAAGACATCTCCATACCCATAAAGTATATATATTTATAAGGATCAACAGACGAGTCCATATGGGCATGTTAGGTTGCCATTCCTTTAGTCCTTACGGTTTCACTCAGGCTTATTTTAAGTATAATAAGCATATTCACTTTAAATTATAATAGTTAACCAGAACCAATTCAAAAATATTCGTATCCACTTTAATACATTTTAAAGTCGTGCAACAAATTAATTTACTTTAACCTTTTATATGAGAAATCTTTTTAATAAATGAAGTACCAATTCTATTTTTCAAATGAAATGCTTGACCTGAAGAACTTTGAATTCATTTTTCGATAAACTCGAAATCGATTTTTAGCATTAGAAAGTAGCATTCATCTTGTAAATGTTAATACGTTTAATCGTCAATACTGTTCTTTCTGTTAAATCAAAGTAAAACGCTTTCAAATCTAGTAAAATATAGTTCTTTGAAATTTAATACGCGTTTTGTAAAAATAATTACATCACAGGTGCCGAACGAAATAAACAGACAGCTAGTAACCGAGAGGGTCAATACTCGTACTTAAAACATCTGAATGGAGAGAGATAAGCAGGGAAATTCTTGAATTTATGAAATAGAAAATAACCTATTCCGGTGCCAGATAGTTAAAAGGTATTCTAGTTTCAAGCCAATAGCAATCGGAGAGTTTTTAAGGATGCCAGTAAATTTTATAAAATTTGTTATCCTGATAATTTTGGCACATCTTCTTTCTGTGTCCCGAAAGTGTCCTGCGAACTTCACTCTTACTGGAAAACACTGCCGAAAAATAGCATAAGCTTATAATATATTCGAGATTAGAAACATTTTTATTATATTATGACACACACATTGTTTATTGGTTTTCTTTAAGCAAATAAACTGTATAATTATATTTAATTATAATAAATTGTTCGATTTTGTTCGATGTTTTCCACAAGTCTTGGTTGTATAATTTTGTTAAGCATCTGCCCGGCACCGTTTATTTGATGTTAAGTGAGTTCCATCCCGACAATTTGGAAGAGTTTCTAGGACAGATTGCACGAAATAAATCTCAGTGTCGTTGGCCGGAGGGAGGGGTGGATTTCCTTTTGCATTCGTTTGTCCAGAAGGATGATGAGGCATGGGGATCACCCATTGCCAGCTCAGCATCAGCAGCCCAATGATCAAAATCAACCTGGCTAACATTTTCGTTTTTTTGAGAGTATTATACCTTCTGGTCTCGGGTCTAGAAGCAACGCAACTAAGCTTAGCTCTGAAAAAAGCCAGGCTTTTATTGTAAGAAATAAAGACAGAAAGCTTTTGGCGAAATAAAGAGAAAAAATACTTCTCTTTATATGATTTTAAATTTTTTTTCTTTAGAAAATTTTGTTTACCTATGTTTTTTTTTGCATTTTAGTTATTATACATTAAAAAATTTAATTTCTTAAATGTACATTTTTAGTAGTTTGGTATTTTTGGCATAGAAAGCTTTTTTCGTGAAAAAATTATGATCACGCTTTGTTGGGTTAATACTATTTACAGTCTTTTCTCATTTAAAATATATTACATTATTAATTTTTTTATTTAAATAGAGTCGATTTATTACATCACTTTTGCTGTAGAGCGGCTCGCAGTTCATCTTGCTTAACATTTGCTGTTTTGGCCGCTTCTTTGGAGTCCGCTCCCTGATTCACGGCCTTCCAGCCCAACCAGCCCACCGTGTGAAGCACAAGGACTGCAATTCCGATGCGGACAGCTGGTCCGTATTTGAAGGTCGCCGATTTTCCACTCTTGACGTTATCCATTGCCAAAGTAAAAACAGATCTTAAACTGGGGACTGAGCAAAAAACAACTGATAAGCACGTGAATAAATAAATATGAGAAAAAGCTTTAAAGCTTTTTTTTTTTTACCAGGGCTATGGTATCAACGATCACTAAACAAGTTCCAGTTCCATTTATTTTTAAGTTTTAGATTTATTTTTATTTATAAAATAAGTCTTATTCTTAAATAAATTAAAAGTTTTCTTAAATACCCTCTGGAAGGTAAGCCCGACACTATAGTGCGAAAGCAAATGGCAGAAAATAAGAGAAAACTTTAGCAGCAAATGGCACACAAAACGCTCGTATTACATGCCCAACAAGTCCTGCAACGAGTCCTGCAGCAGGAGCAGCTCAACTCTTAGCTCCCCAAGGGGTGGCAGATAGTCTGGTGTGGTTGGGTTTCTGGGATGCAAATGGTTCGGGGGCTGGTTGCCCTGGCCAGGTGAAAGATTGAAGCTGCAGGCGCCAGGAATTAGCATGTTATGTTTAACGCATTTTTGCACCTTAGGCATTTGTTTGTGTGTGTGTGTGTGAGCCTGGCTGTGAGTCCTTCGACTTCGGTGCTGACTTTTGTTCGGGGTGGCACCCCCTAGCGACACATGTGCAAACAAGACGTTGCCTTACCATTGTGGGTTATCCTTTTGCGGACAAAAACACCAACAAGAACAGAAAGTGAGCAAACCGAGAACAAGAGCTGAGCATTTTCCGCACATTTAATCGCATTTTGTTTTGGGGAAATTGTTGAAAAGCTCACATGAATTTTAAACTGCGGTTTCCAGTAGCCGCAGAGGGGGCTGGGAGTTTTTCGGGAGGTTCTTCTTTGAGCCGCTTACGTGTGAGTGCCATTGAATAATGCAGTTTTTTTCGAGCATCCTGTCAGCCAAACAGCGATACCAACGAATTTTCAGCTGCAAATTAAATTGAATTTTAGCTGCGACATTTAAAAATTTCATGAGCTCAGCACACACTCCATATATGTATGTATATGTATGTGTGTGGGGATATGCTATACATAGTACATTGTACATATCCTTACCCATTTCCCGGCCCATTTTCGTGGGGAGAACCTCTTGCTGGGCTCATTAAATAGATGCCCGGTACGTGCTTCCATTTTGGGGCACATTTCATTAAGTGCACGTAAACGGCAGGCTGTCAACTAGCTGGGGGCGTGGCTTAACGCCCCCACACCCTACACACTCACACAGAGTAACACACACATGGGTAATTCCCAACGTAAACACTTTGGGAAAGCATGTCGCAAAGACATCAATTACGACATCAGCCGCATTGCCATCAGCATCATCATCGGTATCGAACGGTCATTATCGTCATCGATTGGCCCGCCAGAACACGATGATGATGTCAAATTTTGGCCCCAAGGTGGCGCCGGTACCGCTGCTGTGCTTGCTGTTCCTGCTCCTAGTCCTTTTCCCCAGGACCTAACCGCATTTCAAATGTGTTTTTATGTAAGCACTCAAAAAATACGAGAATCGTAAGCAAACTGAACCGGAAGACACTATGTTTCGATAGTATAAGTATTAGTTTCAAAATAAATAAATACCTCTACCTGCCTTTGAGGGTTTTGACTATTTTTTCACCATCCCTGCTCTAATCGAGACCTCCAGTGGAATCCTTTTTATATCTATGACCCGCACTGTCTGAAAGTTCTTACTCGTATTTGCCTTGCATTGCTTAAATAAATTTTGACTACGTGTTGTGAGTGTTTTGGAAACAGAAATGGCAAAAATAAGAGCTGGAGGGGACCAAAACGAGACCCCCGAGTGGTAGGACCCAAATGGGACAGTTGACAAAAAACTAGGCAACACTTAATTGTTGTTGCGTGCAACATAGCAGCAGCTTCTCAAATATTTATGCACTACAGCATTATGTACGTAGTTGTACTCGTCCGTATGTGACTACTGGGACAATTTCCACAACCAAAACACGAACACGGAAAAGTTCTCCAAGGACATTACACTTGAGTCGCTTCCAAGTAGTCATCATCCACTAATTGAGATCGTTGCAACTTTGAATTAAGCCAAAAATCACGCCCTCGCTCAAGGGTCATTCATTCATGCAGCGCGTTAAGTAATTAGAGGCGCCACTCTCCCACCCATTAGCGAAAATTTGATTACAAACTTCCAGTTTTTTTTTCCTCGTCCACTTAGTGTCAAGTCTTAAGCACGGGAGGGCTCTTGAAACAACAAAAAATATTTCAAAATGTCTAGGGGTGCCTGCTATTCCTGCTAACCCGACCTGCCCCCAGCCCGTTGCAACCTGTGTCACCTTTAACGGACTGTCAACGTGCAACAAAAACACTTGAAACTGGCAACAAACCGGGGCGGCAAAAGGGTCGTTCATCAAGGACTGTTTTAATTGCTTTGCAAAACGCGCTTACTGAAACTGGAGGGAATATTACTGCCGTTTTAACAGAAAAAGTTCAGGGCCTGGATGGATTGACATTTTTGAAGACTATACTTCGCTTAGTTTTGATTTTAAATCCATAAACTTTAAGGTGAGTACAACCACCAAGCATTATTTATAAAAAAAAAGTAAAATAAAGTGAATTTTATAAATTTTCCTTTAAAAATAGTTAGAAGCGGTCATGGTCGTACCTAACGAACTCAAAAAACCCAGCAACAAGTTTAGATACAAAATGTTGCAACAAACATGAGTAGAAGTTGCAATAGACACGAGAAAAAGTATCTATTCATACCCAAAAGCCTATGGGTTTCATTTCTTAATAACTAATTCAAATTGATTCAATAAAAAGGAGCACCACTCAGAATTCGCTCTATCCGTGTTACCGAGCGATCATCGAAGCCCTGCGACCCGGAGGATGCGGACACCGAAGTGCCACATCACAAAGGCCGCTGGACAAATCCTCACGCTGCCGAATAGAACGATTCACCTCATCAACGCGGGTGTGCTTAGCTTTCATCTAATGTGAAAGTATGTGAAGACTGACTACAGAAATGATCCTGTGAAGTATAGTCTTAAAGATACATTCCAACGCCTGTGGCTGTTGCTGCGCTGCGTGCCAGAACCACTTGGGAATCATAAACCAAAAAAAAAGAATAAAAAAAAACGACGCAACATGTTGCCCTGTAAGTATGCAGTGTATCTTTCGCTGTTTCGGGGGGATTATTCGTTCTATTTATGATTATTTCCTACCCTCCCGCTTGGCAACTGATCAGAAACGATCAGAAAGAACGAATAAATTGTAAAATAAATAAAATAAACAAAAAAGTATCCACTTGGCAGCGGTGGGATTCGAACCCACGCCTCCGAGGAGACTGGTGCCTTAAACCAGCGCCTTAGACCGCTCGGCCACGCTACCATGTCTGCTTGCGGCGCCAAATGCTCTACAACAGCTAGAACGAAAATGTATCTGTATCTACGTGCGCACATTTTTATCTAAATCTGAGTGTTGCTCAACCATCTTTATTGCCGCAACACCTTGCCTTTATATTTTTTTTCGGCCTCACTGCGGCGCATATAAATGCTCTCATTTGGCGAGAAGGAAAATGTCAATCAAACGAAATCAATTTCGGGCGCAAGCCTTTGCCTTTTGCCATTCAGTGTTGTGCTGCATAAGAATGTTTATTATGTGTATTTTACAAAACTGTCAGCAGTTTTTCCAAGACAGCGTCAGCTTAGAAATGCGTTTAAAATTCAAATGAAAATGCGAATTTATGCGTGACAGGCGGTGGTCGTGGTCGCCTTCGCTCACACATGCAACCGTAGCAACAATTTCCTATTGCTGCAAGCCATAAACTGAAGCCGGCGGCAGGCAGATGAAGCTGGAAGCCAGGAGCTGGGAGCTGGAACTGGAGATGGAAATAGAGCTGGGCTGGCGTCGGGCCGAGGACTCCGCAATGAAATTAGAAAATTGCAATAAAAATCTTTGCACGGGACAACGGGGAAAACAAAAACAAAGTCTGCGGTTTGTATAAGGGTGCTTGGAGCTTCGAGGGAAGAGGGTAGAGCAGCAGCGTTTGCGGTTTCATTAAAATGCCACCGAAAAAAGGAACAAAAAGTCAGACGCCGTGTCAGCAGAGGAAATATTTTCCACACACGTGAATTTATACAAATTTAAAGGGACCCGGTCTAGAAATAATTGTGAAATTTTTCAATTTCCCAGCCAGACAGACAGTTGCTGGGAAAATACAAAAAATCACGTACAGCTGGCCAGATGTCCTCGTTTGCAGGTAGAAGCGCTAATGGAGTTAATTGTGGGCATTATCAAGAATGTTTTGGGCGGCCCAGCAATGTCCGAATCAAATTAAATTTCAAACAATTGTCAAATAGAAATTCCAAGGCCGGAATTCAACAATGGCTGCATTCCTGGCGGCTTCCAGGATGTCCACTTATTATGCAGCCAGCACAGAGCTGTAAATTAAATGGATGACTCAACGAAATAGTTCAACCAAGACCGCAAACTAGAAAATTACTTGGAACAGCTAAGCAGCCGTCACAATGGAAATAGCTCACAAGCGGAAAATAGATAATAAACATCCCCCTTAGCACGGGCACGAAGGTACATTATGAGGGAATGTAGACAGAATCGAGCATTTCGAACTCATTCATTGTGTATAAGAATTTTGACAAACGCCAGATACATGGTAGCGTGGCCGAGCGGTCTAAGGCGCTGGTTTAAGGCACCAGTCTCCTCGGAGGCGTGGGTTCGAATCCCACCGCTGCCAAGTGGATACTTTTTTGTTTATTTTATTTATTTTACAAATTATTCGTTCTTTTCGATCGTTTCTGATCAGTTGCCAAGCGGGAGTTTAAGAAATAATCAGAAATAGAACGAATAATCCCGCCGAAACAGTGAAAGATACACTGCATACTTACAGGGCAACATGTTGCGTAGTTTTTTTTTTATTATTTTTGTTTGGTTTATAATTCCCAAGTGGTTCTGGCACGTAGCGCAGCAACAGCCACAGGCGTTGGAATGTATCTTTAAGACTATACTTCACAGGATCATTTCTGTAGTCAGTCTTCACATACTTTCACATTAGATGAAAGCTAAGCACACCCGCGTTGATGAGGTGAATCGTTCTATTCGGCAGCGTGAGGATTTGTCCAGCGGCCTTTGTGATGTGGCACTTCGGTGTCCGCATCCTCCGGGTCGCAGGGCTTCGATGATCGCTCGGTAACACGGATAGAGCGAATTCTGAGTGGTGCTCCTTTTTATTGAATCAATTTGAACTAGTTAAGGTGATATGAGTATTCGTTCAAAGTGTTTATTTTGATCGTACTTATTCTGAAAGTAGGGTTGTATCAACATTTGTATCTAAACATGGCGAGTCTCATGCATCTAAACATTTTTCAGTATTTAATTCTAAGCTATTGGTCGTATCTTCTTGCCTCAAATTAATACTTAGAATGCTATCGTTCTAAAGAATACACAGTTTCTGTGGTATTGTGGTGGAATTATTCTTCCTGATGCATTCTTGGAGTGCATTAAAAGTTTTGGCCGCCAGGAGAAATGCGTTCTGCGCCAGGGGAGGCAACTCCGCTAACAACGTATTATTGGCAATATTTTATAAGCTTGCCAAGAACCCCCTTGGAGTACCTACTGCTGCCCCCCTGGTCCTTTGAAAAATTGGCATGTCGTTGTAACTTTGCCAGTCTCTCTATGAAGTAAAAAATAAAATCTCTTGGCACATAAGTTTTGTGCACGTTAAGTACTTTTTCATAACCATCGCCGAGTTGCTGTTGTCTGGCTTTCGCGGGGGCTAGCTGGAAGGGGCGAGGACTGGAGGTGAGCTCCAGTGCCTCGGGGGCATAATATGCATATGCAACAACAGAGGGGCAACAAATAATAGAGAACGGCAATAAAAAGTACGATACACATTGAGGGAAAAGCTGGAAAAAAGGGAAACTTTAAATAGTTCCAGCTACTTTTTCGAGAGTTTTGCCAATGCGATGGTCCAAATGGAGGGAGGGGACTGCGCCAATGTTAAATTACTTTTAGAGTAATTTTTTTGCAGAGCTTTGGTTATTTTGTATTCCGTTTTGTGTAAAAGTTTGTGGCACTAAATTAAGCGATTACAAATGGCTATACTTGATAATAGAAATTATAAATTGATATCGAGCCAACTTGCCAGCAAAGTCCTGTTGTCGAGGAGGAACTCTTTGGGCAGCGACCCCAAAACTTGTAGAACCTTCTTCGCCATCCTGCCCCTTCAATTAGCTGCGACAGACTGAATAGTCTGTTGAGAGCTTTACAAGTCGATTGCCCAAAAATAAGTTTATTTATTTCGAATGAAGTTGCATAAACTCTAATTCTTTTTGGCATAGAAGAGCACCTTTTTTTGTGTTGTTGGGTGAACTTTGGCCCGGCACTCGTCATCAGCTGATTTGCTTGCCCTGCACGTAGCGTCATTTTTGACATTTAATTATGGCCGCTCTCCTTCCAGGAGGAGCTTTCCTGGATGTAAACTCGATTTCATGGCCCGAACTTACAAAAGGTGATTCCATATTTCGTTTCTTGGGGCTGGCTCTCCGGCAACGCGTGCTACGTGTGCATCTTGTACCTGTCTATTGTAGTTCCATATGCAAGCCGCATGACCTGGCCATGGCTTTGGCACTGAGAGAAATATATCTCATCTTGTTTACTCCCCTATATTTAGATCTAGTTTTATCTTTTTAGAATATAATTGTAAGTTTCCCGCAATAAACCACTCTTAAGATACATCTAATATCCTATTTTGTTCAGTGTATCCTTTTTTTTCGGATGGACGTGCGTTGTCAAAACTGCCGCTTCATTTTTTCCCCATAAAAATGGGGAATTTTCTTTTCTCTCGTTTCCGTGGGCCACCATCTCGCATCCTTGCATCCTGGACAACTTTGTGTGTGTCCTGGCGATTTATGAAAAAAAAACGACTAGAGCGCCGCACGTGATGTGAAATGCCAAAGGATTTTGGCCCAAAGGCGAACTAGTCTGTAAACGGGGAGTGTACTGGACAATGGCGTCTAAATTAATTATCAAGGATAACAGCGTGAAAGGTTCAGCGACGCTGCATTGTCTCCAGCCTCCTAATTCAATTACGACAGCTGGTAGCTTCTGGCTACTGGCTACTGGATATAGCCTGCCGCCTGCAGGTTGGGGGCAAATTAAAAAAGGCTTAGGCCAGAGTTAATACGGACTTAAGCGGGGTAATTAAAAGCCAAGGCTGCAATTGCATTCGGGAAATGTCTTTGCTGCCATACCCATTAAGGGTGGGGTGGTGTTGTGTTTCCTCCACCTCATCCTTCAGTACACCTCTACCACCGCCACCCGACTGCCGTAAAATCACGGACTGCAAATCCCTGGAGAATAATTTGAAACATAGAACCGAAGAAGCTGGAAGGTAAAGCCAGAAGACGATGCCGCCGAATCCCTTCCACATTAAAATATGATGAGCTCGTGAAGGCAACAACGGTACAAATGAAAACGAAGTTAATAAAAAAGGTTGTAAAGGGAGGGCGGGGCCAGTCAGGTGGGTGGCTCTCAGGTGTCTGGGCGTGCAAAGGGTGTCCAAAAAATAATCAACATAAAAAAGAAAATTATTTGCAATATTATCAAGAGCTACAAAAGTTACACGGCGAAGGCAAACGGCGAAAAGCCAAACGGAGAAATGAAAATGTTCAACAAGAAAATATAACCGGAATGAAATGAAAACATCACTGGGGAGGAGGAGGTGGAACATCGCGATGGGAATGTTCCAGAAAATGCAAGAAATTAGGTACAGTGGGTGGGTAAAACTAACTAAAAGATATAAAACATTTGAAGATTGTTTTCTCATCTATAGATTAATAAAGATGGCAAGTTTTGGCTTTAATAACCCCTTAAAAAATATTGATAAAAATTTCATAAATATTTTACAACAATCCTCCCACAGTACCAACTTCCAGAACCCCTGAAAGTGGAGGCCACTTGAACTTCCAAACTGCAGTTCCCGTTCGAGTTTTGTAATTGGGGTTAGGTCCGGCAATAAACACCCACCAGGCCAGGGCAGGCTAACAGGCCATAACAACAAAGCCAAAAAGTAAAACCAACAAAACTGAGATGCAAATTAAATTTGGTTTTAATCAAGCAGCATGGATCCCCATGTATTTTCCATGCGGGGGCCGAACACCAAGGCCGAGTTCAACAAGCAAATCAATTAAAGGGCTGCGCCCCGAGCATCAAGCATCTACATCCAAAGCCACAGAGTCAAGATTTAAGTTATGAGTGCCACTAACAAAATCATTTGTTTGTTGACCTCAAGAGTTGACGAGCGATTAAGACAATGGGACGGGTAATGCATTAGTCTTCTCCCCAAAAAGAAACACGAAACGTGATCACAACTTTTCCATCACAATTTATGGTTTGTGCATTGAAAACCCATATCTGAAGAGTGCCACGAACCGGTTTGAGCTTCGCAGTCGATTGAATCCATCGATCAAGTCTTGAGTGAGCGATTAAAGAGCACAGATCAAGTTCAAAGTCAATGCTGGCTAATGTCGCTTCCGTTGCCGTTGGCCCATGAGATGGCCGAAGAGTTTCGACAATATAAAAGCCAATGGAAGCCATCAGATCCGTAGCACACATCTTTTGTTAAGCGCAGCCTAAACACTCCTAATCATGGTGAGTTGAAGAGCCCCGAAACTAGAAACTAGAGCAAATATTATAAAACTTGATATCTTTTATAGAAATTCCTAATCATTGCCGTTGCCTTCTTGGCCTGCGCCTTTGCCGATGTGTCCGAGCTGGGAGGCTACGATTACCAGCAGCCTGCTCCTGCCCCAGTGGAGACCTACATTCCCCCCGCACCCTTAGCTCCTGCCCCGGCTCCTGTCGAGACCTACATCCCTCCTGCACCCCCGGCACCCGAGTACATCCCACCCGCACCCATCCAGGCCGAGGAGCCCATCATCGAGGAGATCGAGCAGCCCGCCCAGGACGGCTACCGCTACAAGACCGTCCGCCGTCGCGTCTTCCGTCACCGCAACTAAGCCAAATGGTTATTGTTATTGTTTGTTTTGTTGAAATGAGAGCAGCCTCGAAAAAAAGACTAAAAATTTAAAGATACTCCATCAGAAACCATGTTTTTTTGTCATTTTGGATCGCGAACCGCAAATTCCAGCTCCCTATCAACATGCTCCCATCGAATATGCTTCGAGTTCCAATGTCAAAGTCGCAATTTAAATGGCTTAAACGTATTTCCATCCCCCCGGCCTGCTTTGGCTATCCAACCCTCTTCAAGTGAAGCCAAAACCGTCGAAGGCCTAAACAAACCGCCCAAGGCCAAACACATGTCCTGGCCAAAAACTGGCATTCCAATGGATTCCGTTCCCCCTCCTGTCGATAGTCTGGCAGTAAAAAGGTCAAACCGACGACTAGACCAATTCGACTTAACCGAAAATTGCTGAAACATTCAATGAGTAGGGACAAAAAAGTGCTCCATCCTAGCGCCCCATCCTCGGATTCATCCACTCTCGATTGACTTCAGCCAAAGCAAATAAATCCTCGATTACAAAATCAAACAGAGTACAAAAACAAAGGATGGCGAAATGGAAAAAATGTTTGCCCATAATGCAAAATGGGAAAATATGCGAATTCAATAAGCAGCAAGTTGGCAGCCAAGAAAGGAAAAAGGGATCATTATATGGTAGGGGGACATTGGGTGTGGGTGAGGCTGTGGCTGTGGGTGTAGCTGTGGGTATGTGGTCTTCCTACAATCCCCTTTGCGACCCCCACAGGACATTTGGCCAATTGCTGTTGACTCTTTGCTCCGAGGCGACTCTTCTTTCTTTTTGCGGCGTCGAGTTCACATATTTTGCACTCACTTTATGCTGATGACATGCAAGTGGCTAAAATTATTTTTAGCAACCAACTAGGACTGGGTCTCCGGATCCATTCAAAGGCGAGTAATGAGCAGCAAATAAGCCAAAGAAATCAGCCAAAGAGCTATGGTCTAGGCACTGCAAGAAATACAAGGCCAAGAGAATAAGGAACTCCCTCTGCTTTAGTTTTCAGTTCCACTTATTAGATTTCAGTGCATTTGATAGAGAGGCAGCCGGATCCAGAGACCGGGACCAGACAGCTTCCATTTCCAGCATCTTCTTTGTCGTGACATACGGGAAATTCCCCACGGAGTCTATCAACTGTTGATAAAGCAAAATGTGCGTACGGCAGCTCCAGAGGCGATGGCAGAAGGACGCCTCTGGATGGAATTCTTTGCCTTTTTTGGTATGTACATAAGTTTATTATTTTGAAGGTAATTGGATTTGTGTTGCAGCAGTCGAGAAGTCGCCACAGCATAATAAGAAAATATATAAACTTCCCCCTCTCCACTCCAATGTGCAGGACAATGAACCTGGGGGCGCGACAATCTCAATCTGAACATATGCTCAATGCCCGAGGCATTGCCTCTGACCAGGGAGTCCATCCATTTGGACATCGCACATTGGCCATTGTTTGCACTCGTAATTGTTTTCCTAATGGATAAAGTCTATAAATTTCTGTGCTCGACGCGCGGCCAAATGCGAAATATGTCACGAATGTTAAGCGTTTTATAAACGACTGCGATCCAAGTGCGATGCGGTGGCAGGCGATGGCCTTTCCTGGGGGAAAGGAGTCCCGATTCTGGAATGCGAAGGATTTATCGGCGTTGGCCACTCAGCAGGACATAGTGCAATTTCGAATAGAGACCGATGCTGATGCTGATGCACTTTCCGGTGACTCGTAAATTAAGATGTTGATGGAGTCGCAACATCTTAAATGGTTAACCAATTGGAGTCGGAAGTATTTAAAATATATATATTTTAAAGAATTGATTGTTCAACTTTAAATTATAATACTCTTACGCATCATCAGTATTAAGATCATGAAGTCCTATCAGTTTCCTAGCATTGTCTTTCATAATTTGAATCCTGGTCACTCCCTCGTCACTCCGTCCACCATTGACTCTGACTTTCTTCAAGTCCTGCTGAGCCATCGGAAAGGTAATACCATCCCCGACAGTAGTGTACACTGGAATAAACCAGAGATACCATTTGTTGCCAAAGACTTCCAGAAAATTCTGCTTCATTCCCAGGTCATAGGCATTTTTGTTTTGGCCGCCTTCGTAAAAGTACGGAGGATATACAACTTCCACAGAGGTGTGGTTTTTAATAAAATGGGAAAGGGTGACCATGGTCATGATCCAGACACACATGGAGAATGAAATGATGACGACGTGCTGCACCATGAGCCACAGCTTAGTCGGAGAGTAGCCAACGATGTCAAAGTCAAAGCCTTCCAGGTACAACAAGTAGTAGAGCATCACGAAGAGAAGATAGATTAGAAATATGTCGGCGTAGACTAGGAAGACTACGAAGAACTTTGTGTTGTGGAAGTGGACGCAATTCTTGACCCAGGGACAATGGTGATCCTTCTTCAACACACATTGCCCACAAATTGAGCAGTGATGAGCTCTGTCCGGCTTTATGATCCGGCAAATGTCGCAATACCTCACAGTTCCCGATTTCGTGCACATCTTGACCGGTAAGCTCTTGGCTATTTGGCTCAGAATTCGTGACTTTTCCTCGGAGCTCTCGGTGCGCTTTAACCTGGCCACATCCTCGTCAGATATTTTCCATTGACTTGGTATGGGCGCCGGATCGGTGATGATACACTTACCCCATGTCCAAAGGAACATGACGAGCAGCACATGGAAGGTTATCAACAAGAAGGCCACCTCCACACAGCTCTCAACGCGATTCAAACATATTTGCACAATGAATACATGGTAAGCCCAGATGAGTAAGACCATAATCATGATAAGAGGCATCCACCTGGCCAAACAACAAGGTCCAGATCTTGGCTCTCGCTTTGAAGTACAGCACATGCTACGAGAAGACAAGCTGCGAGTCTTCTTCGATGAGGTCCTTGCATCCCCTTGAATGGTGGGATTCTACAAGCCAAGCAACATGTGGCTTGAGTTTGATAATTTTGACAAGGCCTAGTCCGATTGGTCTTGGGTTATATAAGGTATAGTATTAATAGCTTATGCCATATGTATGTCCCTGAAGTATTACCTTCAATGGACTCACGCTCATCTGTTTCTTCCCACTTCTCAAGATTTGATTGATTGGACGGTGTTAGCTTTTCATCATTTATTTTCTACTCTTCATCTTCACCGGAGTGAAGATAAATCAACAAAGTGTTGCATCTTCAAACAAAGTATTAACAGATTCCGCAGCAAATCACTATTTGCTGTGGCCTATCACATTAGTCAACAAAATGGGGAGCTTCTGTGACCTAGTTGCGGTGGCGGAACACGCGACGGCGGACGGTCTTGTAGCGGTAGCCGTCCTGGGCGGGCTGCTCGATCTCCTCGATGATGGGCTCCTCGGCCTGGACAGGGGCAGGAGGGATGTAGGCGGGGGCGGGGGCTGCAGGAGGAATGTAGGTCTCAACCGGAGCGGGGGCGGGTGCTGGGGGGATGTAGGTGTTCTTGGGTGCCGGTGGTGGTGGTGGTGGTGGGGGAGGGATGTAGGCCTTGGCGGGAGCCGCTGGTGGGGGGATGTAGGTGTTCTTGGGTGCCGGTGGGGGTGGTGGTGGTGGGGGGTGGGATGTAGGCCTTCACAGGTGCCGGAGGGGCAGGCTGGGGATAATCGTAGCCGGCGGCTCCCAGCTCCGAGACATCAGCGTAGGCGCAGGCCAAGAAGGCGGCGGCAAGGATCAGGAATTTCTAAGAAAAAAATTGTATTTAATAAAATATAGAGGTTTTTAAAGTATTATCCTGCCACCCACCATCTTGAGGAGATTGGCTTGTTGCTGCTTGGATCACAAGTTGATTTGTGCTGCTGAACTCGAAGTGTGTCTTCGGTTTTTATAGCTCATTGTTTTCGGTGTTGCGGGTCAACCGGAGCTAAATTAATTGCATGATGCCCCCATGATACATGGGGGTCTTAGCCTCACTCAAAAAGTCGGAAGATAAACGCCAAACCGAATATGTCGAATAAACCAAACCAAACACAAGACAACGAGCCTCCAATGCCAAGGCAGTTTGACGGGTTTTCGGTTTCATTTGGGGTTTAGTTTCGCTCTTAGTTTCCACCTATTCGGCTTCGAAAATTGATATTAACTTTGCTTTGACTTGGCTCAGTTTTTTGTTCAAATCTCAAAAGAAAAGGTACAAAAAATGAGCTTCTTTAATTAGATCAAACAAACCTTTTGATGATGATTACCATTTGCATGTGGAATACTAGTTTCATTTTTTATACGAAATTGATTTGATGAATGTTCGTGGGTCACACGCTCGATCGGCTTCACGTTTTCTTAATTATTTCATTTTGTTTATGTTTTTATGGCAATTTTTTTTTTTATCTTTTTGGCTTTGGCTGGCCAAATTATTAGTAGCATATGCCGGGCCTATGGCGTCGTTTCAAGTTTATGCCAAAATTAATTTCAATTTGCTTAGATTATGCTGATCTTGGCAATGCCTGTCGGCGGTGTTGAAGTTGTTGTTTTCGGCTCTTAATTAATTACTCAAGTCAAGCGGGCTTTGCCTTTTTTAAGCATCTGGCATATAAACAGTTTATTTTAAAGTCGATTCGTCTTGTTTCCATTTTTTATTTCTTTTAGTTTTCGGGCTTGATTAAGTGAAGTTCTGTGCAGCAATGTTGTAGGCTTTATGGGAGTTTAAAATATGCAAACAAAACAGTGACAGCGTGGGCAACGCTGCGTATACGTAATAAATCTTCTTTCTTGAATATTTTAGTAGTTTTTTTTTTTAAATATTTCCCTGCAATAAAGTTGGCTAAATGAAATATCCTGACCCTTTTTTATAAGAAAAAACCATTTGAGAATTAAAGTATTAAATTCATTTTTTATTTAGGAAACTTCTCGCTATCCTTGAGGTTCTTTCAACAAAATCCTTTAAGGAGTTGCTCTCTAGTAACGGCGGCGGACCACACGGCGACGGACAGTCTTGTAACGGTAGCCATCGGCAGACACGGGCTCAATCTCCTCCAGGACGGGCTGAGGAGCCAGCACGGGCACGGGAGCGGGAGCAGGGGCGACCTTGACGGGAACGGGAGCAGGGGCGGGGATGCTCACGGGTGCGGGGGGAATGTAGGTGTTGACGGGAGCGGGAGCGGGCAGGGAGACTGGGACTGGAGCCGGGGCGGGGATCTCAACCTGGACGGGAGCGGGGGCTGGGATGCTCACGGGTGCGGGAGGGATGTAGGTGTTGACTGGAGCGGGAGCCACCTTGATGGGAGCAGGAGCGGGGATGGCAACAGGAGCTGGAGCTGGGGCGGGCACCTCAATCTGGATGGGAGCTGGGGCTGGGATGCTCACGGGTGCAGGTGGGATGTAGGTGTTGACTGGCACTGGGGCGGGGGCAGGAGCGGCCACCTTGATGGGCAGAGGAGCCGGAGCTGGGATGCTCACGGGAGCGTAGTTGTAGCCGGACAGGTGGGAGACATCGGCGTGAGCAACAGCCAGGAGGGCAACGGCGACAACCAGGAATTTCTACATCAATGAAAAGGATAATCAGTCAGGATTCTGGAGGTTCTATTCTCTGTGATCTACTAACCATTTTGATATGTTACTTGGAACGTTTGCGTTTCTAGTATGGTTTGGAATCGTAACCTGGGTTGTATTTATACCAAAACCTGGGCGCGGTGCAGAAACTAAAGTTAAACACTATTTTTGTGAAGAAGTGCGGATATGATGGTCTCTTAATATGCCAGAAACCAGAATTTTACGAGCCAAGCCAATGATTAACTAATGTACCCTACATTGACATAGAAGAGTCTTATGGACAGTTGGGAAAAATATATAGATTGGTTCAAAGATACTTTCAAAACTCGGTGGACTAAAATATAGTCCTTGATTTGAGAGTTTTATCCACTAAATTGTTTCCATAGCTTCAAAACTAACAATAAATATGAAATTTGATATTTAACCTCCATTATTCCTATCTTATACCATTATACACATCAAAATCATGTTAAAAATGTTTTTTTTTTTATCTCCAAAACATAGGGGCCATCGACAGTCCCTCAAACCGAAACTCATCATCATCGTTCGTACTTGCTTGCTTTTGGCATTGTTTTAATTTAAATATCATTTGCATAAAACATTTATGCCTTAGTGTATCAAATTGAACTACCAAAAGTAAAGCCGCTCGAAACTGGAAACCCAGCTAGACTTTTGGCACAACAAGCCTACAGCCGGCGGAGGTTTTTGTTTTTATTTTGTCCACAAACGCCAGACGACGAATGGCGAGTTCATGCGGCGGTCATTAATCTGCCTGATTGCCCATGATAAGGTGGCTAAAACAAGAGCCTATTGCTTAATTATGTATGGGAACGGAACCGAGCCCAGTTGGCCCAGGTTGGAGAGGCAGTGGCGAAAATCAGCAAGGCGATGGCGGGCTTCGATCGGGTCAAAAGTTGAACATGACGCCAGCTAGACCGCCGCCATGTGTCACTGCCAGCCGGAAAACAAATTAGCCACTGTCTCGGATAGAGAAGGGGAAACTGGGCGAAAAAGAGACAACTTTCGGTTCTTTGAAGGACATCAGGACACTTTCTCTCGCTCTGTCCAATTTTTAATTGCACAAATTGCTAATGAAGAGTTTTTCCGGTTGGTGCCAAAAATTCGCCAACGAGACAGTGTGAGACTCTGTGACGCCAAAGTGATTTAATTTCTGTTGAATTTGTTTTCCGCCCAAAAGCGTAAAGCGTAAAAATAAAGACCAATAACACATGCACATGCATGGTGGGAGCATGGAATTGTCAAAAAGCTATGCAAACAAGCACTTAACCCCTTCTATTTTGACAATTCCATTATTTTCGTAGCGCCAATAAACCGAAACTGCAAATGTATTTTGAACAAATACACAAACACTCTACCAGAGTCGGATATATCTGCTCCTCGAAGCGCCATGCTGGTCATGCAACGCTGCGTATACGTAATTTAGTTGTTTGCCTGTTAATAGTTGACATGCATTCCATGGTGGCGTCATCCGAGGGCAAAAATAGGAAAAACTCAATAGTTCGTTTCCCTTGAAGGGTTTGGAAAAATAGAAAGAAATATTTGTTTCGATTTTAATAGTTTTGCTAACGGCCTGGCAAAAGTTTTTTAATTCCGATCGAATTTATTGAACTGGGTTGTTTATTTTATGTTATTGTTTTGATTAGCTAACAATAGTCATTTCCCTTTAAAATCTGGAATCATTTGAATTTAAAATGCGACTCTCGATTAAGATTAATCCAACAATGGTTCAGTGACCTCTGCAAAAATGAACGATAACCATCTAAAGGAGACCATCTGGTGACCGGCTAATGAATTATATATTTGTTTTTTATATATATTTCTATCTAAAACTATGTAGACACGCGCAAAAGTGAATCGAGTTAGCCAGGTTCCATTTCGAATTCATCGAGACACTGAATTTGCATAACTATTTTGCAATGTCTGTGCCAAAATACGGATTAAATAAATATTCAAAATGCAACTACGTCACGTCACTATTTGCAGGAAATTTGACTTGGTCAACTCTTTCCAATCGATTTTCAGGAACGATTTTCCACAATCGACGTCCACTGGACCCCCCAGCTCATAAATTCATGCCCCACGATGTATATATCCTTATAAATGTGTACCTGAATGTGCGTTTATATATATGTATGTATATACTTTGGGCAGATAAATCAACGGGCGACAAATTAATGCTGCAAATGAAGTGCAACTGCTGGCATCGAACGCGAGAGGAATTGAGGACCCACCTGTCCAGGATAACGATTATTTTCGCGCCTCTTGCAGGACCCTGGCGCCGCTCCCCGCCTCTCCGGGACTCCGTTCTCGGTGTCGCCCCAATATGCAGTAACAGTAAAAATAAATGAAGGCAGTCAACGTTTGCATATTTCAGTGGCAGGCTCCCCTTGCCGATTTTTCACTCCCAGGCCTGGTACTTTCCTTTTTTTTCTACCGTACTGTTTTGTTTTCCGTTTTGGAGGTGGGTTTGGGGGGCAGTATCCCCTTCAACTGCTGATATAATTACGTTGATACTGTCAATTTCCCAACGATCCATGTCCCATATCCACGTGCACTCTGCACGTTCGATTTCGCACTGTCGTTTTTAAAGCCGTAAGCCGTAAGCCAGCCGGCCTGCGTCTGGGATTCCGGGCTGCCGGCGAGTTTGAGAGCCCCATCAATTTTTACGTCCGATTTATTGAGTGAGCCAAGCTCAGTGGGTATACCATATTTTTGGATGTATTCAGGGCTCATCCTGGCGGGCAGGATATTTAAAGCTGTATATTAAAGCTAGCATTTTGTGATTAGATTACATATTTTGGGTTTAATTTTTAAACTTTATATTTTGAAAATAAATACAGGTAATCAAGACTTCGTATACCATAAGTCCATGGCTATTTTTTGGCCACAATATTCAATTCATTTTCGTTTTACTTCTGCATACTTTTAGGCGGGCTGTCTCGTGATTATTTTGTAATCCACGGCGCCTAAAGCATTGATTACACATTTTCCGAGGGACAGGTGAGACAGGTGGGATTCGCCACCGTATGCCCTGGGCTCCGACGATTGGAGCCATAATGCGTGTTAATCAGGCATCATTAACTGCTAATTAAGTGCGGTTGAAAATGCAACCAACTGTCAATTGTTGGGTGTCTGCCGAACCCTGGCGGATATTCCTTTTTTTAAATTAATCTCCAGCTCTTCTGCCCGGGAAAGTAAAGTTCAATGAGGCTAAAAATTGGGCAATAAATCCCATATTGCAGTCGCTATTTGCATTTTAACTAATCGCTGGCAGGGATTAAATGAATAGAAAGGTACATATTTTTGGGCAGCGAAGGTTTGTGAGCTAGAGGTTGCATATTTTTAAAGTACCACCCTCTTTCTATAGTTAGCTATAGTTAGGAAAAAAAATTTTATTTCCTACCACACGAACTAATCACAGCTGATTGGAGTGCGGTATACCGGAATCGTCTCTAAATTGTAATTGGCTGTCTAATAATTTTAGTTGGCCCCAATCCCTGTATCAACCAAACACAAAGGATTCTTGATGCCTGTTTGTCGGGATTCCATACAAAGCAAAAATGTGTGTTTTAATTCATTTAATTGAGCTGCCAATATTTGACCAAAATGCAATTAACGAAATAAGCCAGGACAATCCATTGTGGTTATGCTAGTGGATAGTTGGTTGGAAAAAATAATTTTGTTTTAATTACGCAATTAATTTTAGTGCCCTGCTATTGGTTTTTGGTTCTTTTTAATTAGTATGCGCAATGGCAAGTGTAATATGTATGTGTCTCTGTGGTTGTCCTGGCATTCAGACAACTACCAAAAAAAAACAAAAAAAAAATAAAGAAAAAAGGTCCTGAAGCTTCAATTTCTACGCCACAGCCAGACATTTCCCTAATCAAATTTCAGTATGGATGGAATGAAAAGGAGCTTCGTCCGTAGACATTTGTCGCTGCATTTTCTTCTTAATTTTCTGCAGAGTCTTATGTCTGACGATGTCCTTGTACCTGCCCCACCCACTGCCGCCTCATCCTGGCACTTGTTAGCAGCCACAAGTGGTCAGTGGTCTCTGATGAGGCCAATCCACTCAGCACCAGTCTCCAGCTTTCAGTTCCGGCATTCCTACGCCATCGATTTGTGTTGAGGGCACCGGAAAAAATAAGGAAAGTTACAAAATATCAAAGCTTTAATGTCATGCCGACTTGTAGTTAATTTAAAAGATTTAATAGTAGTATTTAATATATAAATAGTTGACTCATTCATTTAACTAATTAATTTCCCACAGTGCAAATGAAAACTTTTGAATCTAACGAGAAAAAATTTCCACATCATCAAAGCTCATTCCAGGCCATAAATTTCGTGATAAATGTGGAGTGGCGAGGACTGTTTACTTGCATAAAACACGCTATCGAATCGAATCCTTAGGGAGTGTTCCGCAACTTGCCTGCAACTCCTTATTATCCCTCCCTGTGCCTCCGCAGCATCCTTCCATCCCCTCATCCAACCCTATCTGTCCGATGGCAAGCTGATTTCTAGAGTCCAGCCATTTCTTCAGGTTTCATAAATTTCCCACTCAAATAGCCGAAGCAAACTTAAGAGTTTTCTGACTTTTCCTGCATTCTCCCACCCCTTTCTGACCGGCATCTCATGTGATTTGCCATGATTGGAAAACAATTTGAAGACTTTCTTTTTGTTTAACAAGTCGAAGACGGGAATTTTTTTATTTTTCAATTCCCAGTTGGGAATTCGTTAGGAAACAGTTTCGAAGGGCTTTGGTAAGTTTAGAAGCGGTGACGGTAGACGCGACGACGCACGGTCTTGTAGCGGTAACCATCAGCGGACACGGGCTCGATCTCCTCCAGGACCTGCTGGCTGCTGGGCTGGTAGACGGGAGCAGGAGCGGGCTGGTAGACTGGAGCCGGAGCGGGGATGCTGATGGGAGCTGGCTGGTAGACGGGAGCGGGAGCAGGGATGCTGATGGGTGCAGGGGGCACGTAGGTCCTCACGGGAGCTGGGGCAGGGATCACAACTGGAGCTGGAGCAGGAGCGGGGATCACAACTGGAGCTGGAGCAGGAGCGGGGATCACAACTGGAGCTGGAGCTGGGATGCTCACTGGGATGGGAGCAGGAGCTGGGTTGTAGACGGGAGCTGGTGCTGGTGCGGGGGGAATGTAAGACCTGACGGGAGCCGGAGCTGGGATCACAACTGGAGCTGGGGCAGGAGCAGGGATCACAACTGGAGCTGGAGCAGGAGCTGGGATCACAACTGGAGCTGGGGCAGGAGCGGGGATCACAACTGGAGCTGGGGCAGGAGCGGGGATCACAACTGGAGCTGGAGCTGGGATGCTGATGGGTGCTGGGGGCACGTAGGTCCTCACTGGAGCGGGAGCTGGAGCAGAGATCACAACTGGAGCTGGGGCAGGAGCTGGGATCACAACTGGAGCTGGGGCAGGAGCAGGGATGCTGATGGGAGCTGGCTGGTAAACCGGAGCCGGGGCTGGGATGCTGATGGGAGCTGGCTGGTAAACCGGAGCCGGGGCTGGGATGCTGATAGGAGCTGGCTGGTAAACCGGAGCCGGGGGCGAGTAGTTGTAACCCAGGTGGGAGACATCGCCATAGGCGCAGGCCAGAACGGCAAAGGCAATAACCAGGAATTTCTGTAAAATCAAAACGTTTCAATGAGTAATCCTTGATCCTGGGGGGCCGTGTCGTAGAGCTCACCATGATGACAGCTACGATCTGCGGTTGAGTCGCTTCTGATTGAAAAGCCTCGCCCGCAATACTATTTATACAAAGACCGAGCCCACGAAAAAAATTCTGCAAGCCGTAAAAACTTGACTTCCAAGCCGACTGAAAACTGAAGATCGTCAAAACGGCTCATCTGAATATTCAACACGAGATGAGATATATTTGTTGTTTATTTTTCGGTTTTCTGGTTTTGTTTTTGGGGGTCGTCAGAATGAAGTAGCATTCGTTAGGTTCGTGTTTAATTGGTTTATTGCCTCACGGGGCTGGTCAAGGAATTGCGTTCGGCCATATGATGGTTAGATATATGGATAGGCAATATGTCTGGGTTAGTGGCTGACACCCCGAATGACTTCTAGATGACATTAATCCGAGGTGTTGTGGATCAGATGCAGACAGATGCTAACGGCAGACTTTATGGGCGTTTGGCTGGCAGCTGAGTAGATTTTATTTGACACTTTGGCTTAATAGATTTTAAATAAAATACATTTATTTTATTTTTGGCACATGCGTCAGGTGTAGCCGGAAATTTGCAATAATCGTTAGAAACGAATGCAGACTTTTGGAAACTGGTTGTTGATTGGGTTTTACGATTATTTTCGCAAAGGTTAGAAGCTATTGTTCTAGATTAAAAAATAATCTGAAGTTATTCAACAGCTTTGGCGTTTTATTTTTGGTCCGTTCTTGCAGACTTCATAATGGATTCTTTTGTCAAAATCGGCGCCCACAATCTCCAGAAATACATATTCGAATTTATGCTAATCCAATGGAACTGTAAGTTTTGAAACAAACACATTTTCTTCGCTCATCATTTTTCGACTAACCGACTAACGAACCCTTAGACGTCGTCAATTAATTGACCCAAACCAGTTGCCTTCGATTATGGCCATAAAAATGGGTCTGGCTGACGTCTGAGCCTAGACAAAATAGATATGCTCAGCCGGCCTCAAGGTCTTCCCAATTTTCGTCTAAGCTTCTCGATGAATTCTTGGAAAAAGATTGAATAGCGGATCAAACTCCGTAATTATATGATACGCACCTTAGATAATTGTTTAGACCTTAGTGCTTCAAATACTATGAATAACATTTAATTTTTATTTATTACTTTGTGGCGGCTATAATATTTCCTCATCATCTCAAGAGGCGTCTCCATTATTCACGGGTCTTTATCCGAGAGATGTTATAATTTGTTTCTCTGTCGGTATATGGCCGCAGGAACTAAATTGCAACTAAATATGAGTTTAAATTTCGCGCAGGTCAAAAAATCCATTTGCGGTCATCGTTTATTTGCCAAAACGACTTGGACACTTGTCGTGGCGTTGTTGTTATTCCAGTGCAAACACGTTAATCACACGTATTCATGGTCCACACCACGCCAAGTCAAACATTAAAAACTTGTTGTTAATTTTCTAAGCTTAGTTTTGACTACCAGCCGTCGTCCATGCGCGCATCTTTTTCTGCATTTGTTTATCTTTCATGTATGTAAATGCCGAAATGCCGATCTTGTTGGACATGCGGCTATACCGAGCCTGGCTTTTGTTCAACATTTGCATGGCAAATGGCTTCCGTTATTGTCTTTAGTTGGCCCGGTTTTATCTGTGCTCATATCAGCCGAATGTTATTATAGGCGAATCCCAATTAAACCATTGTTATACCCCCCTGGGGTCTTTAAACAAAATGTTTATGGCATGGACAAGTCTTCAAACTAGTTTTTCAATATCGAAGTAATCCCCGTTTTCCCATCTTTATGACCTTGACTTTGGGAGACTTTTTTTCGGGCATATGTAACCCATAAATTAATATCGATATTTCGGGGGTTTTTCTAGGCCGCTTCCTGTAATTAAGACAGGCCTGTTAAGTAGCCGTGTAAAGGTCAATTATATGATTTATTAGTCAAATTTACATATATGAATATTAGCCGGTTTTGATAAGCCAGTGGCAGTTTTTGGTGTGATCCGTGTTAATAAGATTTATCAAGTTCTACCCATAAATCCAACCTCTAGCTGTCGGAAGAGAAAATTACCAGAAAATATAAAGGGTGTCTTTTTTTTCGGTGGAACTAAAATCATAATTGACTCAATAGAATCATCGATGAGCCTTTGTTTGAATAGATTTGAATTGGTTGGTTGGTTTAACGAGTTGCTCCCACAACTCAAACAAAAATCGAACCGGTTATGGGTTTCATTTGTCTTGGCCAAACTAAGGCATTTGAATCCATAATGATGGAATTAAATATGTTGATTCTTCATTATGGAATCGTTATTATGTTTTGTTTTGGATAGTTTACATATTTAAATTAATGTAAAAATATGGATCATCTTTTGTTTCTCTAAATCTATAATTTTTTGAAGAAAAATAAATGATTATTGTGGTCTATTATCTTTTCTATTGCTAATAGTTTTCTTGCAACCCTCGCTGGTGGGTGGAGTTTAGTGTTTTGCCTTCAAACAAGTTATGTTTCTTGATGTTTCTTTCTCTCTCTGTTTTATTTATTCAAAACCACACGCATATACTAAAGATAAACTTTTTTTAGACAATAGTTTAGATTTTTTAATGCAGTGTTATATTAATTTTTTTGCCTCAGCCTGACTCCCTTAAAAAAATATCAACAAAAAAGCTGTCAGTGGCTGAGGGGGGTTGGTCTGGTAAAAGGGGCATGTGGCGTGGCAAGTGGGGGAGTGAGTCAAGTTACGAGGAATGCACAAAAGGCAACAACGGAAATGAAATCACGTACCAGGGGCGTTGTCATTCACAATGAGTGTGTGCCTTAGTGCTCAGTTGTTGTTACTTCTAGTGGTTGTTGTTGTTCAAGTTGTCAGCAGTCGCGGCGACGACAGAAGCTGCCATCCAAATATATATATAGTATGCAAGCACTGAGAAAAAATATTGACCAATTAATATAAGTTATGGAAGCCATTTGAAAGGAGTAATAACTGATCTCTCCCAGAAAAGGTCTTTTCGGAGTATTAAAAATATTATTTATATTATTGACAAAACCCCTGGTTTAATTTAGTTTTTCTCAGTGCTTGACTAACGGTATGTGTGTGAATGTCTAATGTCCAATTTCAATTTGGACTGGCTGGCTGACAGAGCTTGTCGCCGTCCACCGCAAATGGCAAACAATGTAAAAGGTGCCCTTCTTCCCAAAAACTGCTTCCTCCCATATCACTTAGAGGGCAAACAGCGACGGGGAGGGGGAAAAAGACAGTGACAGAGAAATGGGAGGTTGCGAGCTAAGTTTATTTACTTTTAACACGAAATAGTAAAGTTTACAAAAAGGAAACGTGCGCCTTGCGCTATGCTGCACTTCTTAGACGGTATACCGTTCTATGTACCATTGTACCGTTATGCTCGTGCTCACCGTGCAGAGTGGTGACTGTACCTAGGGATAAACAAATAAAAGTTTTAAGAATTTAAAAGAACAAAGTGAATTTTTAAAGTTTAAGAAAACCACAAATAATAAAAGTTAACCTCCTTGTTTTAAAGTCCTTTTTTTTATATAATCCCCCAAAAATAATCCAGTAAGTTAATCCACTTTCTTCGTAGTCCTTTCCACTTTTGTACCTTTAATTTATCATTTCGCAGGGATACCCTCTTTCTGGACCCTTTCAAAGGAGCTAAATAGAAAAAAAGTATAATTTTAAGCAGCGCATTGCAGTGAAAGAAACTTTCTGGCCAACAAGCAAAGAAAAAAGGTAGAAAAATTAGCGACATGCTGTGTGACGTGACTCGACTGCATTACGTAGCCGCCCCGTAACCGTTGGACTTGTCCCGCCAGATGCCTTTGACAAGGGGCGTGGCCCCGGCACAGGCACAGGCTCAGTCTCAGGCAACTCCCGTACCAAAGGACACAACTAAATTATTTAAAAACTCTCTAAGAGCAAAGAGGCTTTGTGCAATTAAACGCGTTCTCAACGCGCCACGCACATATGTGACAACACGCTCTCAAGTCCGGAGTCAGGACAAGCATCCTGCCGTAATGATACCCGTAATAATTACACCGCAACGGGGACACATGTGCCGGGTTAGTGGATGGAATGCCCGGTGCTTGCGTGTGCCATGCTGCTAATTACAATAAATTTGGCCAATTATTGTCTGGCATTGTTTTCGGCCCGGCCAACAGCGGCTGTAAACTTTAAGTAGCTCTCGACGAAGGAGCAGGACCAAGTTTCGCATCTATCGATACGAAGTCCTTGTTTCGCCGGAGCATGGCTGGCTAATTGTCTTCTAAATTATGATAAGAAGAAACTTTCCTTTTGGCGCTGCTTTGAACGTGAAGGTAGAGTCACTTAAAAGGGTCAATCGGGTCAGTTAACTCACATGTGAGGACTATAATGAGGGATATTTTCGGAAAGGGTAAGTGATTCTTAAAGGGTTCTTTGTGGTTTTTTATTGGAGGTATAAATTTTCAGTTTTTCCTCCCCCGATGCATCTAAATTACCGCCTGTCGTCTATGTCTCACAGATATTGTTAGCAATCAAGGCAAATCACAACGAATGTCAAACGATTTGCTTTATGACCCTCGCCACAGATCAAGACTGCAGTGATTTGCCTGGGGAATATGGCGAAAGGTCCTTCATTTTTATTATACTACTCGGAAGGCTTCTCAAACCCCGTTTTGTGAAAGGGGTGCAACATATGCGCGCTTCATAAAGTGCTTTCAGCCTTCTTCTGCCCCATAGTCATTCTTTCTGGTGCATGCCAAATGCCAAAGTAGATGCAGTCAAGTCGTGCGCCAGCTGAGAGCGCAATTTGGTAGAACAATACGATACGTATACGCCCCGTTGTTCCCTTTTGGCTTACTAAGGTTTACAGAGGGAAAAACAATAAGCTAAAGGGTTAATTGTTCTTATAAAATCATTATACAAGCTAACATTGTAAATTATTTTTTAAAGACTTTTTTAAGATTATAAATTCTTTTAAATAAAATATATCTTATATAATTAGGCTAATTTTTTTGAGTGCTCCTGCTACTGGCATTTAAAAATGCCTCTGTCTTGGTTTTTGGTCTTGGTGCCTGCTTTCGTTTTTGCCAAATGCGCCATATATTTTTTTAGGTTTATGTCTTCGTTTCGTAGCAAATATTTCCATAGAGCCGGAGCGAGCGAGACAATAATGCAT